CCAACGTCGACACGAGCACGTGGAGGAGCGATTCTGTCAGCGTGCCGAGTGGCTCGCGAACGTGCCGAGTGAGGAATTCGGTCCCAGCTGCCCCCGGGCATGGGCACCCATCTACCCCGCCCCTCCCCCCTGCTCCACGCTCCGACACCCCCCCCCCCCCCCCATGCCGACCCCGCTAGCCCTGATCCAGCCCGGGGCGACCCAGTGATGGTGCCGACAGACCGGCTTGGCTGGGTGCGGTTGTGGCTCACCGTGACCGCACCCACGCCCTGGCACAGCGCGACAACGCATAGCCGGCCTCACAGCCTCACCAGCACACACTCACCATCACGTACACACCGACACTCACCATCACATACACGCCGACACACACCATTACTTACACACCAACACACACTCACCATCACGTACACACCGACACTCACCATCACGTGCACGCCGACACACACCATTTCTTACACACCAACACACACTCACCATCACGTACACACCGACACTCACCATCACGTACACACCGACACACACTCATCATCACGTGCACACCGACACACACTCATCATCACGTACACACCGACACACGCTTATTACCACATACACAATTTCAACTTATATCTGAAACATTCCTGGGTTGGTCTTAGGTCGACTCAGCCATAAATGAGTACCTGGTGAAGTGAGTAAAACATCAGTATAGGGGAGACAAAGACGGCCGGGTGGCCGGGTGCGGTGCTGACCCTACCTCCCTCTCGTGTGCCATGCTGGCTTTCATAGTTGCTTGCTAACGGTGCTTTCCCCAACAGTCTGTTCAAGGCTGCAGAGGTATTTCTTATATACAGTATATATATGAGTGTATGTATATAAGTCCGGCAAAAACAACCCCCTACCTCCTCGTTGGTGCCGGACGGCAACGCTGTGGTTGTAATCACCACAGCCGCCCAATGGGGGTTCTGGATGGGTGCGAGGGGCTGGTAACCCCTCCACCTTCAATTAATCACCACCAAACCACGATTGAAACATTAAACATTTAATTAAGCTTGTGCCAGAGGCCCCGGGGGGACAGGCATTGATGATGTCGCCTGGCTAAACCATATTTGGCAGAGCCAGGAGACTGAATCCTCACCCTCGGGGTTCCTCCAGAAACAACAAAAAACTACTACGGGTGGCCACGTGGAATGTTCGAACGCTCACTGCAGAGGAGAGGCTGCCACTCCTCTGTCGGGAGCTGGATCGGTACCGCCTGGATCTCTGTGGTATTCAGGCAGTCCGGTGGACCGGCTCTGGCTCCTGCCACCATGAGGGGTGGACAGTCCTCTACTCGGGGCAGGAGATTTCCAAACAACAGGGAGTGTCTCTTCTTCTGAACAAAAGAATGAAGGGGGCGTGGGAGCGTGGCAGTGAGGTGTGGGAAGCTGTAAGCCCCAGGCTACTTTGGGCTCGCCTTCCCATCAACCAGAGGCAAGGAGTGGTGGTTGTGGTAACTTATGCCCCCACCGAAGACGAACATCCATGGAGGGATGCAGGCAAGGCCGATGAGTCAGATGCCTTCTATGACCTCCTGTCACAGGTGCTAGCTAAAGTGATAGAGTTATCTTCTTGGGTGACTTCAATGCCCGAGTTGAGTGATTGGAAGGCATGGGCCGGATCAGCTCAATAACAACGGCAGGAAGCTGCTAGATTTTTGTGCAGCTCATGGGCTTGTAATTACCAACACGCTGTTCCGGCATCGGCGCATCCACACAACATCATGGATGCATGCCGGGTCCAAGCAAAAACATCTGCTGGACTACATAGTGACGGAACAGCGGATGCGGGCCCATTTCCTTGACACCAGGACCTACCGTGGAGCTGATCTGCCCACTGACCATCGACTTGTCATCTGTAAGATGCGCCTGCCATTCTTCCACTCCAGTGGTGGGTGTACACCAAGGACCCCATTCAAACCCATAGTGGCTTGGTCTCAGCTAGCTAATGAAAGTTGCAAGAGAGAATTTCATCATCGCTTGGAGCTGGGGTTAGCATCGTCCCCCACTCCTCCTGATGTCGAGGGCACCTGGGTCTGCCCCGTGACCTTGTGCCAACGGGCGTTCGACACTTCACGTGGCCTCAACGTGCACATAGCTTGTCACAAGCGTCGTGGTGACTCCACAGCCACTTAGTGGCGAATAGGGGTTGTTGTTGTTGTATATGAGCGTATGTGCATATGGGGAGCGGTTAGCGCGCTGCGCTACAAAGGCGGCCGGGCGTGGTACTGGCCACCCACCCCCTCATGTGCCGTGTTGGCCTTCACAGGTGCTAGCTAACAGCACTTGCGCCAACAGTCTGTTAAGGCTTAATACGGAGGATCTTTGTCTTTGACAGGTTGACTGTGGTTGACACGGACGGAGTGAGTGACTCCACGGAGGCGAATGTGACGGTGACGCGTCCTGTTGACCGACCTCCAGTGGCCGACGCGGGGCCCACCCAGGTAACAGCAGTCGAACATACCCTCCTAGGTAATGGTACAATCCAGGTAATGATACAATGCTGATAATGGTACAATCCAGGTAATGATACAATGCTGATAATTGAACAATGCAGGTAATGGTACAATCCAGGTAATGATACAATGCTGATAATTGAACAATCCAGGTAATGGTACAATCCAGGTAATGGTACAATCCAGGTAATGGTACAATCCAGGCGAAGGACGACAGCTTTAAACCTCGGGCACGATCCTGGTGACCCCCAACACCGGACGGTGACCTCGTGTGGGGACCCCGTTATAAAACGCGAGCCCCCCCCCACCCCTGACCCACCCAGCCCGTGCCCGGTGTCCCACAGGTGCTGACCCTACCGCAGAGCGAGCTGACTCTGAACGGCAACCAGAGCGCCGACGACCACGCCGTCACCACGTACGAGTGGGCCATCAGCCCCAGCAGCCAGATCAAGGTGGTGAACATGCAGGTGAGCAGCGGTCGGTGACACCGCAGGCTCCGCCAGTCACGTGCCATCTTCGCCGCTGCTCAGACGTGCGACGTGGAGTTTGACCCCCACCAGAATCTAATTTTTTTTTATCAGAATATTTATTTAGACTGCAGAAAAAAATCCGATGAGCCGTAAAGCTCTTTTTCACAAACGTCCGGTCGGGGCGGGTCAGCAGGTTACAACAGCCTGATGATGCTGGTTGTTGTAATCACCAGCGAAACGTCACGATGCTGGAATTGTAAACGTTGCAGGTTTTCTCTCCAACACACCGGTGTGCTGAACTAGTAACTAATAGGCATGTTTTGTTTACATGACAAACTTTACTAACTGGCTGTATCAGGTGGTGGCGAGTTTAACGACTCATATTTACTCTATCTAACCAAAAAAAACCCTCCATTAAGGTAAGCAAGTCGCTAAAAGTAAATAAATGTCAACAACTAAGTAACGTTCATGAAAGTGCGATGACGGTGTCAATGTGACGGCGTGGCGACGCGGCGTGGCAGGGAGTGCGCACGCCGTACCTGCACCTGTCGGCGCTGCAGGAGGGCGAGTACGTGTTCCAGCTCACGGTGGCCGACGTGGCGGGTCAGCACGACACGGCGCAGGTCAGCGTCATCGTGCAGCCAGGTGAGCGGCCGGGTGGGGGGGAACCGAGGCGGGCGATGGGCGAGACGGGTGAGGGGTGAGGCGGGTGAGCGGTCAGACAGACAAAGGGTGAGGACGGTTGAGGGATGAGACAGGCGAGGGGCGAGACAGGTGTTTGGTGGAACAGGCGGGGGGTGAAACTGATGAGGGTTAAGGCAGGTGAGGCAGGTGAGAGGTGGGACAGGTCAGAGGTGAGGTAACTGGAGAGGTGGGTGATGGGCGAGCTGTGGAGAGAAGCCAAGTGAGTGGCAAGGCGCAATAGGTCAGTGGTAGAAGAGGGGAGCGGTGGGGACAGGTGGGTGGCTGTGTAACGCCGTCTGCCCCCCCCCCCGCCACCTCCCGGCTGTGCCGCCTGTTGCCCCCTGGTTGCCGTGGCGATACCAGAGGTGAACCTGCCCCCCGTGGCCGACGCGGGGCCCGACAAGGAGCTGACTGCGCCGTCGGCCGACACGACGCTCGACGGCTCGCGGAGCCACGACGACCGTGGCATCGTGGGATACCTGTGGGAGAAAACCAGGTGAGTGGCCGCCCCTGCGTGTGTGTGGGTGCGCGTGTGCGCGTGTGCGCATGTGCGCCCGCACGTGCGTTGGCACAGTGGGGAGCAAAGGTGGTGCATCTTCCGGTCATCTCAGTCGGTCAATGGACTTGCCGATGACTCTGGTAGCAGCGGTGTCAAGATCGGGTTCTGTGGATAGGCCTCTGTGAGGTTCGTGAAGGACGTTGCTGAGCAATTGGAGGCGGTCACCCTCCAGCAATAAAGTAGGGCGGAGGAGCGATGCTCACAACAACGAGTGGAGTTGGCACAGTGGGGAGCACAGGCAGTGTATCTACCAAGCATCTTAATCAGTGAACCCGTGGCACCTGGGTCTGTTCTGTGGCCTCCTGCCAGCGAGCCTTCGACACTTCACGTGGCCTCAAAGTGCACGTAGCCGGGCACCGGTGCCATTTTGGCCGAGTGGCCAAAATGCAGAAAGTTGTCAGCGTAGGGAGGACAGGTCGTGTACCTGCCAGTCATTGGGGAATCTCAGACAATTCTGGCATTTGCCTGATGAATCGGGTTGCTGTAATCACCAGCGGAACGTCATTAACTGAAATTGTAAATCTTATGGGTTTTCTCTCCAACACACAGCCGGTGTAGTGCTGAAGTCGTGTGTTTTATTCACAACGTGACGAACATTACTTATCGGCTGTGTTGGGGGGAGGTGGGTTTACGACATATTTACGCGTTATCGTGAATAATACGGGTCGCGAAAGCCTTTCCGTGTTAAGTTCGCCGTGGTTGCGTGTGCCTTTGCCCGAGTCGGGTGGGCGGGATACATGGGGGACCTTTGTCTTTCTCTGCGCGTGCGCGCCAGTGGGCCCGACGGCCCCCGCCTGACGGGCGTGGACAGGCCGGAGCTGCGCGTCGCCGGGCTGGGCGTCGGGGTCTACGGCTTCCGCCTGACGGTGCGCGACGCCAAGGGGCTGGTGGCGAGCGACGTGGTGAGCGTCACGGTCCGGCAGGGTGAGTTCGACCCCCGGGTGCGGCGCGGGGTCATCGGGGCGAACGTGCTTTCCGTACGAGTCGCTGCGCACGTGCACGTTCGGTCGAATCTGCCTCCGTGCGTTCGTGCGTGTGGCAGGAAGGTGTCTGTTTGCAGCGCAGTTTGTCCTTCGCGAGTGGCCAAATCGCAAGCCTTCCCCAGAAGACATTCACGTTGGCACGCGGGTGGAACTGTTGGGCCAACGTTCCACAAGGGACGCCACGGTGGCGAGATGTTAACAACCTCACCTGATATACAGGAGGGCGTGGGTTCGATCCCGACCCAGACACCTGTATATTTGGGATTTGCGTGTCTCTCTCTCTCTGGTTTTTACCTCTACATTTAGAATCAACATGTTTTGAGATTATTTGGCTGTTATACATTTCCACGTGATAAACCACTTCGTTGAGCTACCATTATGGGCCAGGTCGCTTCTGATAAAGAGCTATATAGCTCAGTGGGCTTTACCTGGTAAAATAAAAAAGAGTTTAGTGTAAGAGTTTACTGGGCCGCGACCCTCGGGGAACCTGCGAACCCTCCCTGACCCTCATGACCCCTGTGCCGCCCCCTCACTCACTTCCACCCCCCCTCCCCCGTTAGAGGTGAACGAGCGGCCGGTGTCGAGAGCGGGCGGCGCTGTGACGGTGACGCTGCCCGCGGGGGTCGTGAGGCTCAACGGCTCGCTCTCGTCCGACGACCAGGGCATCGTCAGCTTCCGCTGGCAGCGCGACGAGGCCAGCCCGGCTGCCGGGGTGAGCCACAGCCACCAGCGCCGACTCGGGCACCAGCGCTAGCACCAGCGCTTACACCAGCGCTAGTACCAGCGCTAGCACCAGCGCTTACACCAGCGCTAGTACCAGCGCTAGCACCAGCGCTTACACCAGCGCTAGTACCAGCGCTAGCACCAGCGCTTACACCAGCGCTAACACCAGCACTAACACCAGCACTAGTACCAGCGCTAGTACCAGCGCTAGCACCAGCGCTAACACCAGCGCTAACACCAGCGCTTACACCAGCGCTAACACCAGCGCTTACACCAGCGCTAACACCAGCGCTAACGCCAGCGCTTACACCAGCGCTAACACCAGCGCTAACACCAGCGCTTACACCAGCGCTAACACCAGCGCTAACACCAGCGCTTACACCAGCGCTAACACTAGCGCTAGCGCTTACATCAGCGCTAACACCAGAGCTAACACCAGTACGGACAACAGCATGGGTGATAACAAAGATGAAGATGCCCTGCATAGCCTTTAACAGACTGTTTGGGGAAAGTGCTGTTAGTTAGCACCTATGAAGGCTGGCATGACACACGAGGAGGTGGGTGGCCAGCACCACACCCCGGCCGCCTTTGTCTTCCCAGTCCTAGGAGAGGCCCAGGACCAGTTCAGATAATTTTCACTGGTGTTCGCCGTGAGCGGGAATCGAACTCAGGTCGCTTGGTTCGTAACGCAGCTCGCTATCCGCTGCGCGACCGCTCCCCATGAATACAACCACCACCACTTACGCCATCACTAATACAACCACAGCCACTAATATCAGCACGAGTGATAACACCATCATTAACACAATCATGATCAACAAAATAATTACTACCACCAGCACCATCATCATCACTACCACAAGCGATAACGCCAGCAAAGTCATCAGCACTAATACGAGCACCAGCGCGACGGTGCTGTCCATGGTACTGACGCTCGTGCATGCATTGCAATGGAGTCAGGGGTCACGGAAGAGTCCACATTGGGGCCAAATAGGGTACCAGTAGGATCTGGGTAGAGCATGGCTAGGGCCTGAGTAGAGCCCAGGTTATGGTCTGGGCAGGGTCCCAGTGGTGTCCTAGTAGATTCATGGAAGGGTCCGGGCAGGATCCCAGGAAGGGTCCGGGTAGGGCTCCGTACCGTGACCGTGCGTGCTGGTACCCGGCAGGAGGTGCTGGAGGGCTCGGACTCGCGGGCTGTGCTGCTGCTGAGTAACGTGGTGGAGGGGAGCTACCAGTTCCACCTCACGGTGACGGACGCGCGTGGCCTCTCCCACACGGACACTGCACACTTGGAGGTCCAGCAAGGTGAGTGGGCCTCGCCAACTCACTAATCCTAAGCCCAGCTGTCTTTCTGCCAGCTGACCTGCCTGCCTGCATGCCTGTCTGCTGACCTGTCCGCCTGTTTGCCAACTCGTCCACCTGTCCGTTGACTTGCGTACCTGTCTGCCTGAACTTCTGCCTGTTTGCTCGTCTGCCTACCTGCCCACCTGCCTATCTGTCTACCTGTTATGTACATGCTTGCTTCACTAGCAGTCTACCTGCCTGGCTGTCTAGCTATGTACCTACCTGCTTACCTGCCTGCTCACATCTCCGCCTGTGTCCCCCCCCCCCCCCCCCCCCGCGCCTGTCGCCCCGGGGCAGACCCCCTGCGGGACGCGCTGGTGGAGCTGGTGCTGGAGGTGGATGCTCCTCAGCTTCTGGAGCGGCACATGCAGCTGCTGAAGCGCAAGCTGGCACTGCTGCTGGGCCTGCAGGATCAGCTCGTGCATGTGCATGCCGTGCGCAGCCTCGCCGATGACAGGTGCCGGCGCATTCTCACACCGGCTCACGCACGCACGCACACAGAGACAATAACATCAACCGCCATTCGACACTCAGTTGCAGTGACATCCCCATGGCGTTTGTCCCAGGCTGGCAGGAGGTCGTGGGACAGACCCAGGTGTTATGGGTTAACTAACCGAGATGACTGCCAGGTGCTCCTCATGTGCCAACTCTCTGTGTTTTAGCCGCCCGGCGCTCCGTTCATTGTCACTCCTCCGTCCTCCTTGGCTTTCGGAGGGCGCCTCCAACACACATACATCTGCTCGTCATCGCGGATTCAATGTAACCTTTCATGCCCCCCCTCCACCCCGTGCCCCCCCCCTCCACCCCATGCCCCCTACCCCCAGCACGGCCGTGATTCTGCACGCAGAGCGACTGGGGGAGGGAGGTGGGGCTCTGTCCGGCCTGAACGTGTCACGCTCGCTGCGCCGCCGGCTCGCCGGTTCCGGCGGGGAGTTGCTGCCCTTCGCCATGCTGAGGGTGGACACCCAGAGTGAGCCGTCTGCATGCACAACACAGGCAAAAGTCCCGCATATAGCCTCAACAGACTGTTGGGGCAAGTGTTGTTAGCGTGTAGCACTCACGAAGGCCGGCACGGCGTACGACAGGGTGGGTGGCCAGCACCACGCTGACGGCCTTTGTCTCCGTCGTGGCGATGTTTACACACCACACCAGATACTCCTTTGAGGCTGAGTCGACCTAGGGGAGGCCCAGGACTGGTTCAAATAATCGTCACTGGTGTTGGCTGTGAGCGGGAATAACCGATACACGCAAAATACACGCCCGCGCACACTCCCCACATGCACACCCCACACTCCCACAGCACCCTGAACTAGACATAGAAAGTACTGCTCAATGTGAATGGATGACTGTAAGCATGTGTACTGTTGAGTGCGTCTGAGTGTACGTGTAGATGAGTGTGTGTGTGCACGTATTGATGAGTGTATTTATATCCCGCCACCCTGCTCCCCCTGCCCCCTTCCCCCCCATGGCCAGGGTCCCAGCTTCCGTGCTCGGGACACAGCCACTGTGAGTGTACTGTTGAGTGCGTCTGAGTGTACGTGTAGATGTGTGTGTGTGGGGGGGAGTGGTGTGTGGGGGAGCGGTAGTGTAGCGGTTAGCGCGCTGCGCTATGAACCTGCCGACCCGGGTTCGATTCCCGCTCACGGCTAACACCAGTGACGATTATCTGAACCGGTCCTGGGCCTCCCCTAGGTCGACTCAGCCTTAAATGAGTACCTGGTGCGGTGTGTAAACATCGCCACTGTTGGGCGTGGTGCTGGCCACCCACCCCCTTTTGTACCGTTCCGGCCTTCATAGGTGCTCGCTAACAGCACTTGCCCCTACAGTCTGTTAAGGCTATACGGGGGGTCTTTGTCTTTATCTTTGTGTGTGTGTGTGTGTGCACGTATTGATGAGTGTATTTATATCCCGCCACCCTGCTCCCCCCCCCCCCCCCCCCCCCACGGCCAGGGTGCCAGCTTCCGTGCTCGGGACACGGCCACTGTGACGGCCTGACACGCTCGTGCCGCTGCCAGCCGTTCTGGATGGAGGATCCCGTGCGCAGTCACCTAGGGGACGGAGAGAGCAACTGTGGTGCGGCCTGCCTCCCCTCCCCTCCCCTCCTCTTCCCCATCCCTCCCTCTCTGCCATCTCTCCCCCTCACTTATTCACCGCCCGCTCATCCCTCACTCCTTCCCATCACTCTCTCCCTCCTCCCTCCCTCCTTTCAAACCCCGGGGTCAATGGGGGTGCGATCACCCCATCACCTCTCCATGGACCCCCCCCCTACTGCCCACGCTTGTCACTGACCCCCACCTCCGCACCCCCCTCCCCCCACCCCGCTCCTTGTGGTGACGCGGCAGACTGGAGCGTGCTGTACGTGGGGCTGGCGCTGCTCGGGGTGACGCTGGCGCTCGGGGCGGCCGTCTGGCTGCTGGCTTACAGCTGCCGGCGCTGCAGGTGGGAGGCCTCCCCACCCATACTTCACCGGCTCCTGGCACCCCCTCGCCAAACACAGCTCGCCCCCACTCACCGTGCATAATCTGACACGCTGATATCCCCGTCGCACATACACGTGTGTGTGTGTGTCTTTGTTTGTGTCTGCGCATGAATGATGATGTACATCTTCTTGTATACTCTATGCGTGTGTGTATCTGTGTGCTTGTGTATGTATTAATATGTACACGTGTGTGTACGTGCGCGGTAGTAGCGTAGCTCGTAGCGCGCTGCTCTACGAAGCCGATGACCTGAGTTAGATTTTCGCACACGGCCAACATGAGTGACGATCATCCAAACCGGTCCTGGGCATCCCCTCAGTCCACTAAGCATCAAATGGGTACCTGGTGCAGTGTGTAAACTGGGGAGACAAAGGAGAGTGTTGGGGAGAGTGTGTGTGTGTGTGTGTTTTCGTGTGTTCATGTATGTCTATGTTTCTATATCTATGTGCGTGCGTGTCCATGTGTGTGTCTGTCCGTGTGTGTATCTGTGTGGGCGTGTGTGTGTTCGTGTGTGTGTGTATATGCGTGTGTGTGTATGTAAGTGTGTGTGTGCGTGGGAGGAGCAGGGGCGCCAGTGTCCGGCGGTCGCGGTACCGCGTGCTCGGCAGCCCGCAGGAGCGAGACTCCCTCGAGCTGCGCTCCCGCGGCAAGCGCTGCACGCCGGGTGGGTACAGCGGCCCCCACCCCCTGCTCCCCACACACACACACATGCACACACAGACATACTCACACACACACGCACACAAAGATCTCCCGTATAGTCTTAACATAACATACTGTTGGGACAAACAATGTTAGCGGGCACCTATGAAGGCCGGCACGGCAACACGAGGGGGTGGGTGGCCAGCAACACACCCGACCGCCTTTGTGTCCCCAGTGCTGATGTTTAATACATTGCACTAGGTACTCATCTAAGGCTGAGTCGACCAATGGGGAGGCCCTGGACTGGTTCAAATTTTCGCCACTGGTGTTGGTCGTGAGCGGGAATTAAACTCGGGTCACCGGTTTCGTAGCGCAGCACGCTCACCACTCGACTACACACACATGCATACTCAGCAACAGCTGCCGTTCGTCAATAACTGACAGTGATGTCCCCACGGCACTTGTGCACCTTGAGGCCACGTGAAGTGTCGGCTCGCTGGGCTGGCAGAAGGTCACGAGACAGACCCAGGCATTACGGTTTGGCTGAGTTGACTGGCAGTCGCACCACCTGTGACCTCGGCACGTTCTAACTTGCTGCGTATTGCGCACCGGGTGCTCTGCCCGTTGTTGCGAGCGTCGTTCCTCCATTCCTTTGTTGTGGTTGGAGGGTGGCTGCTTCGACACTGCCCAGCAGTGTTTTCCACACAACAACAACAACCGCCATTCGCCACTAAGTGGCGGTGACATCACCACGACGCTTGTGCCAGGCTATGTGCACCTTGAGGCTACGTGAAGTGTCGAACGCCCGCTGGCAGGTCACGGGGCAGACCCAGGTGTCACGGGTCGACTGACTGAGATGACCGAGATGACTGGCTGACGCACCACCTGTACCCCCGACTGTGCCAATTTGCTGTGCCTTAGCCACCCGGCGCTCTGCTCATTGTTGTGAGCGTCGCTCCTATTAAGCTCTTTCTCCACACACACACCCCTTCACACACTGCATCATTCAGCTCAGTGCAGCGGACAGACACAACAAACTCCCTGTCCCTCCTCTCCCCTCCCACCTCCTCGTCTCCCTCTCTCCCCATCTCCCCTCTCTGTTCTATCCCCCACATCCCTCTTCACCCCCCCCCTTCTCTCCCCTCGACTCTACACCCCTCCTCTCCCCTCCCCTACCACAGGTGGACGCCACAAAGCGATGAGCATCTCTTCCCCGGGACCCCGGCACCGCCAGTCGGACTCGGACAGTGACCGCGACTCAATGGGGGGATCCGGCCTCGTGGGTCGCGCCCCCCACGGCCGACAAAATGGAGGGTTGGCGTCCCACATGGTCCCCTCCGATCTAGACACCCCGGGCTCACTCAGCGACACTCCAAGCGGCCCCCCACGGGGGGTGCCCGGCCTGCACGGCATCGGCTCTGAACCTCTCATCTGATCGCGCCCTGGGATTTCCGAAGGGATTGACATCCCCCCTCCCTCAAGGAGTATCGGACCCCCAGCAGCGTGAGGGCCCTAGAAATGTAAGACATTTCTGGGCATGGAGCGCGCAGGGACTCCAGGACTATGAGACCCCCCTGCCTGTTGGCACAGGGGTCCCCTGGATGCGAACTTGAGATATGTGGACCTCACGGGGGCTCAAGGTCTCTAGAACTATGGGATGCACAGACACCCCCAACCCCCACCAGGACTCATGGTTCCCATGGGCACGAGACCCCCAGAGAGACCCCCTCACCAGACATCACAGGACCACTGCGGTGCATGGAATGTGGTTGCTACCTGGGGAGAGTAAAGATGGACAAGAGAGTGCGGCCTGGTGCGGACTGCACAGACCAACAGCCAGCGCTCGCTTGACTGGAAGCTCGGGAGGGATGAAAGTAGAGCTGGAACATCTGATTATTTAAGTAGTCGATTGTTGTGCCTGTTATGGGGCAAACTGCACGACTAATCGGAAAATATTTGATGGAAAAAAGTCTCACCACTGTTTCCGCGTGTGCCGCGAGACGGGAGGCGATGTGCGGGAATTGATGCTCGTTATCCACATCGTCAGCTGAGGCACGCTGGGCGTGGCTTGTCAGCTAATGTCAATGAGAGGCCCTACCCTGTTCCTTCGGGAAGGCGGCATGTCGAGGCAGCTGACGTTTTTAAAAGAGGCCCAATTAATCGACCACAACAAAAAGTAGTCGATCATAATTTTAATGGGGTTCGTCGACTTAACCCACTGTCATCCGAGGGGTCCGTTCAGCGGGCCAGAGCGCTCTGCCGAACGGTGTGTTTGCAGAGCTCTCTTTTTTTTAATGGTGGAGAAAATTGCACAACTCGCTGGGCGTTGGGTGGTCGTGTCAGAATGTTTCGAGATGGTAGACATTCACGACCAATCAGACCTTGAAACAATCCCACACGCCCAACCAACGCTCAGCGAGGCAGATCCTCAGACTGTTAACTCCTTTTATGATGCACTGTGGGCTAACAGGTCGTTTGGTAGAAAAGCGCTCTGGAGCGCTCGGCCCAAGGAATGCACCCCAGCTCGAGATGGCAGCATCTCGCATGCATTTGCTGGTGTTGAGAGAGCCCCATCTTTAGAGTTTGTAATTACTTGTGCCAACTTTAGCCACAGAAGTGTGCATGTGTGTTTTTAAGGGAAGGTTTATGCTACTACGTTGACCCAAGCGACAAGGGCTCCGATCGGCCACGACCTCCGGACACTTTGGACACTTAAGTTCATCGGCAGTGGCTCTGACTCGGCCGGTGTAGAAGTCAACCCCTGTTAATGGCCCCTTCGGATGGTGGCATAGCTGCAGTTGGCACACTTGAGGCTACCCACTTGAAAAGCTGCTGCTTTTAAGGACTGGGCAGATGAGATGTCAACCTCCTCACAGCTCCGTTGGGGAGCCTGAGGAGCAGGGGTCCTTGTGGAGAAGGGGACGTTATGAAGCAGAGGACCCCTTGGAGAGGCCCTACCCTGTCCCTGCGTCTGTAAAAACAACACCAGTCACTCCGTCCACACTGCTATGAGTTGCAAATATATATATATATCCGTAACGAACACTAAATCCAATTTACCTCTCGCTAGGGCTGTGACTCCTAGTCACGTGCCACCACCTCTAGTCTGCAAGCAGCTTGGAAAATATTTTGTGAGAAATGAAGCCCTGTAATGATGTGATGATGTCATGTGAAGAGAATAAATTATGATGTTTTGTAAACTTGTGTCGTTTTGTGCGTCACTGCCATCAGGGTCGATTAACTCTGACCCCGCATCACTTAAAAACGCGAACCAAATAAGCGGTGTGCTGAGCCGGCACCACTAAGAACCTGGGTTCAACTTCATCACTGACATTGACATTAGCTGCCCCGCTCATGATGCTGACACTTGGGCTATATGCCCATTTAAAACCTTTATAAACAGTTTGCCTTTAGAGGCTAACCCCCTTTTCCTTATGACGACCGCGTGTGTTGCGATCGAAACGTCGTAGTTTTTGTTATTTTGTTTGAACCCATCTACGTGACTTTAACGAAAGACCTAAATAATATGAATTCCTGCTGTCACGAAAGCTTTAAGTCATGGGTTCTCAGGTGTAATATGGTCTGCACTTATTTTGACTGAATGTCGAAACCAGTGCTTGCCCATAAACACCTGGAAGTTCACCTGCATTAGTTCAAGCGAAGCCTGACTGCTGCTGATGAGACACTGGATGTAGAAAACCACTCCAGCTTTGTTTTGTGTTCAACCAAATGCTACAAGAGGCCGTGTGGCCCCATGGGATGTACGTTGAACTTCTTTCGCACCGCACGCAGCCAATCGTGCAATTCGGAGGTGCGGGAGAAGATACTATTGTGGTGTGTACGTGGAGGGACAGATATGAAGCTGTCTATACCAATTGGTCTCTTCTCTAATAGACTACAAATGATGGTGGCCCAAGGTCGATTCTCGGCCACGGCTATAACGTCGCCTTCGAGTGATATCCACACCTGTCAACCCCTTGTCAGTGCCCTCCCTACCTTATTACAGACCAAGTCAGACCTTATTGGTCACCCCGTGCCCTTATAAATCTCAACGTTCATTCTACAAAGTCCCATCACCAGGGAGAAACACAAACAAATACACTTGTTTTGATTTAAAGCTTTCGTGACTGCAGGGATTCATATTCCTAAGAGTACATTTCGGTAAAGTCACGTAGAAGGGAAACAATAAAATAATAAAAATATAAAACAATACAATTCTCACGTTTCGACTGCAACTTTTTTCAAATTTTCTTGCTGTTGTTTTCACACCTGATGATGATTGCTTGTGTTGCAGTCGAAACGTCGTGCGAATTTTATTGTTTTATATTTTTATTGCAGTCACGAAAGCTTCAAATCTAGAATTATATTTATATTATTTTATTGTTTCCCTTGTACGTGACTTTACCGAAAGAACCAAGAAGAATATAAATACACATTTGTTTTTGCCCGTATTGAAACGGCTGTAACGCCGTATGGACCTGAAAAATAAATTTCCCTGTACAAGAATACGGGGTAAACCGTTGACAACTATGGATATGTGAATGGTGAAGTATGGTCAATCATTTATTCTAGATTTGAAGCTTTCGTGACTGCAAGGATTCATACTCTTTGTTTTTTTCGGTAAAGTCACGTAGGTAAAACAATCAATAAAATAAAGTAAATGAATATACGACATTTAGGAGGCAACACAAGCTTCCTTCATCAAAACCAAAGAGTATGGTTAATCAATTGGCGAGGGAGGCTTAAAGTGTCAACCCCTATCCACGACTGCAAGGATACTCTTAGGTTTTTTCGGTAGAGTCAGGTAGGTAAAAATAAATAATAATAAAAATAGACATCATAATATAATTATTTCTATTATTATTCTTTTTAATTTAAAAGATTAATATTATTATTTATTATAATAGTGAAATAGTATCATTTATTTTAAATATTTTAAATAAATAAATACATATATTTTTCCCCCCTATTTTTATTCTTATTTGTTTTACCTACGTGACTTTACCGAAAAACCCTAAGAGTACCCCCATCCACGATTTCGGCGCCATTTTTCCCGCCATTTTTCCTCTCCACCGAGTGACGCACGAATCGAATCGAACAACATCGATTCATGCGCTCACAAGTAATCGAATCGTAGTATCGTGCAAATGGTTCTTGTTGACGATTCGTGCTCTAAAGGCACAAGGGTGGCAACTTTAATTCGTGACGATGATTTAATCGAAATGTCGCGAGGCGGGTAATCGCTGTAGGTTCTTGCACGTTGCAGTTGGGACTTGGGAGTTCACGCGTGAAGGGGTTCAGGTGCAAGGGGGTTAATTTGTGAGGTGTTCATGTGTGAGGGGGTTGTGGTCTGAGGTAAATCAGGTGTGGATGAGTTCAAGTTCGTCGGAGTTCGGGTGGATGATCATTGAGGTAAATCAGTTCAGGTGTTGATCGTGAGTGAGATAAGGTGCGTGGGAGTTCAGGTGTGAGGGAGTTAACGTGTCAGGGGGTTCAGGTGAGAGAGAGTTCAGGTGTGAGGGAGTTCACGTGTCAGGGGGTTCAGGTGCAAGAGAGTTCAGGTGTGAGGGAGTTCACGTGTCAGGGGGTTCAGGTGTGAGGGAGTTCAGGTGTCAGGGGGTTCACGTGTCAGGGGGTTCAGGTGAGAGAGAGTTCAGGTGTGAGGGAGTTCACGTGTCAGGGGGTTCAGGCGAGAGGGGGATCACGTGTCAGGGGGTTCAGGTGTGAAGGAGTTCAGGTATCAGGGGGTTCAGGTGCGTGGGAGTTCAGGTATTAGGAAGTTCACGTGTCAGGGGGTTCAGGTGAGGGAGAGTTCAGGTAAAAGAGAGTTCAGGTGTGAGGGAGCTAACGTGTCAGGGGGTTCAGGTGAGAGAGAGTTCAGGTGCGAGATAGTTCAGGTGAGGGAGTTCACGTGTCAGGGGGTTCAGGTGAGAGATAGTTCAGGTGTGAAGGAGTTAACGTGTCAGGGGGTTCAGGTGAGAGAGAGTTCAGGTGCGAGATAGTTCAGGTGTGAGGGAGTTCACGTGTCAGGGGGTTCAGGTGAGAGAGAGTTCAGGTGTGAGGGAGTTCACGTGTCAGGGGGTTCAGGTGCGAGATAGTTCAGGTGTGAGGGAGTTCACGTGTCAGGGGGTTCAGGTGTGAGGGAGTTCACGTGTCAGGGGGTTCAGGTGAGGGGGGGGTTCAGGTGCGAGATAGTTCAGGTGAGGGAGTTAACGTGTCAGGGGGTTCAGGTGCAAGAGAGTTCAGGTGTGAGGGAGTTCACGTGTCAGGGCGTTCAGGCACGACAAGCTGCAGCTGCGAGAGAGTTCACGTGTGATGTCAATCTGTCGTGAGCGAGTTCAAGGTCACCGTTGACTCTGGGTGACCTTGGCAGTGTGCAGTGAGCCGGCCATGTTCCCGGACCCCGGCTCCAAGCTGCTCCCAGCCGACGAGGAGCCGCGTGGTTCGGCCAATGACCCCGACCTTGACCCCGACCGCCTCGGCCGGAGATTCCTCAGCCGCTTTGCCAAGATGACCGGGTCAAGAGGGCAGCGATTGGCGGTGAGGGGAGCGTGCAGAGGTCGAGGGTCAGTGTGGAGGTGAAGGAGGTCGGCGTGGGCGAATTTGGGGTCAGTGGAAGTCGCTGTGGAACAAGGGGTCAAGCGAAGAGTCGGGTCAGCGCGTAACAGAATCTGAATATTTCGTATCGTGTCAACCCATACGGTTTATTCCTTATTATTGTGCAGGGAAATTGAGTTTTCAGGTCCATACGGCGTTACAGCCGTTTTAATAGGGACAAAACATTGTGTTTTGTGTCTAGTTGTTTGTGTTTCTCCCTTGTGATGCCACTTTGTAGGATGAACGTTGAGATTTATAAGGGAACGGGGGTGACCATTAAGGTCTGAGTTGGTCTGTTATAAGGTAGGGCACTGATAAGGGGTTGACAGGTATGATATTTATACTGGAGGAATCCGATGAGCTATTAAGCTCTTTTTTCCACATATGTCCAGTAAGAGGCGGGCCAGAAGGTTACGAGAGGTCAGTGTGGGGAATTGGGATCAGTGAACGATCACCACTGCTGCTCTTCCTAACCTCATACAGGACGAGCTGGGAGACCTGGAGCTACTGCTGAGGAGGGGAGCTGACATCAACTACAGCGACAGACACGGGCAGACCGCCCTGCACGAGGTGAGAGCACAAACACAAAGATCCCCCGTATAGCCTGATCAGACTGTTGGGGAAAGTGCTGTAAGCGAGCACCTATGTAGGCCGCACGGCACACGAGGGGGTGCACATACACACAACAACAACCGCCATTCGCCACTAAGTGGCAGTGACGTTACCACGACGCTTGTGCCAGGCCATGTGCACCTTGAGGCCACGTGAAGTGTCGAACGCCCGCTGGCAGGAGGTCACGGGGCAGACCCAGGTGCCACGGGTCGACTGACTGAGATGACCGAGATGACTGGCTGATGCACCACCTGTGCCCCCTACTGTGCCAACTTTTCCAACACACACACCCACCATCATCACAACAATATCACGACGTGAAAGCACACACTCAGCCGCAACCATCATCATCACGGCGTGAACTTTCTGAAAATGACACTCATATCAGACAGAAAGGAGAGTGCAGCCTGGAAACACACAAGACTGTAATCGTAAGACGAGTCTTTTCTCTGTCGCGCCTTGCATGTCACATAAATTGGTGGTCGTGTGACACGATTGGGGTCATAATTTTACCACAGTTATATGAGGAGTATTCTGCACTGAGTGGTGTGCCGCACTGAGAGTGGGTTATTGCATACACACGAGTGGTCACGCTGCATGAGTGGTGTGCTGCACTGTGAGCGGTGTGCTACACTGAGTGGTGGTGTGTGCCGCACACGCACATGTGTTCAGGCCGCTGGGATGTGCAGCGTGGACGTCGTGCAGTTCCTGGTGGAGCGGGGAGCCCACGTGAATCGTGGTGACCACCACGGGTGCCGCCCACTGCACGTGGCTGCCGCCGAGGATCAGGCGGACATTGTCAACTTTCTCATGGACGCGGCCGGTAGCGTTGTGCAACTCACACGCCAGTGGCGATTCTATGGGAGTCCCTGGGGGGCTGTACCCCTATAAAGAACTGTAATGCCCCCCCCCCCCAACTAAGTACCGCACATTCAGAGCCAACTCGTCAGAGTGGCTGAGCAGGCACTTGAGGTGAAGTCAAAGAGGTCATCACGGCTGTTGCCGTTGATGCCACACGCGCTTCTTAATCCCTTATGCCAGATCTCACAGCTGCTGCTGACCGTCAAGATCTCCTCTTAACGTCTCATCCTTCGGAGGGAGTTTTCAATCCCACCCAATAATATTGCCCCTAAATGCGTCCGATCTTCCCACATCTTGGTTAATCCTGGTTAGAAGTTGGTGACCACAGTGGCTTCCCAGCAGATGATATGTTGAGTGTTACCCCCCTAATTTTTGTGGATTTTCTCTGGGCATGCCTGATGTGGCGGTTAGTTACGGCAGTATTAAATGTGATTAGATTCGTGGTGGTGCTAGTTGTGATGAAAGGTGTTGTGCTAGGTGTGATGACAATTGTACGGTGCAAGTTGTGGTAGTTTATGATGGTTGTTGTGGTGGTGCTAGCCAAGGGGTGGTGCTAGTTGTTGGTAGTGAGCGTTGTATTATTGTTGGTTGTGTCATGTCTGTGTGCAGCGCTCGTAGAGGCGCAGAACAAGGGCGAGCTGCAGACAGCGGTGCACTACGCGGCTCGCCACGACGCGATCTCTTCCTTGCGGAGTTTGGCCGACCGTGGTGCTGACGTGCATGCGCGCGACTACCAGAACCGCACGCCGCTCCACGTGGCCATCAGCCATGGTCCGCATATGGTTGTGGTGGTGCTAGTTTTGGTTGCATTAGCCATGGTGGTGCTATTTGTGGAAATGCATGTTGTCTTACCGTTTCTTATGTTATGTCTATGTGAAACTCCCAATTGTGCGCATTCATCTGATAACTTTGAGGTTTCTGCGGCTGTGCACCATCGCTGGATGAGCGTCAGTGTCAGGCCACCACCATCTTCTTCAGAGGCCCTTGTTTGTCCCCACTCCCTCAGGCAGCAAGCGAGCGGTGCAGCTACTGTTTGAACTGAAGGCAGACGTCAGCGCAGAAGACGACTCGAGGCAGAGCTGCCTCGTCCTGCTCATCTGCAAGATGCCCTCGCTGGTGAGGATCCTCGCACTGGGCGCCAGTGAGGCAGCGGCGGTGCGAGGAGGTTAACGCTGTGGGTTGTCGGACAGGCACTGCAGGCGCTGGACCAGCTCCAGGTGGACGACAGAGCAAACAGCAGCCAGCTCTTCTACCTGCAACGGCTAGAGCCCGGCCCGACGGCAGGTGAGATGACCCTGCGATGCACGCACACGGGGCTCTACTGTGCTCATTCTCACGCTCGCTTCCTTTTCACATGGCATAAATATCCTACATTCTGACACACCGCAACCAATATATATCTTGCTATGGCTGTAACTGCCTACTCCAGTCTACAACGACCTGGAAAATATTCAGTGTACACATATTCATGAGGCGAACTGATATTCTTGAACGGGGGACACAAATAATATTTGTGTTTTAGCCTACTTACTTTATAATGGAAAATGCACTCTTTCATGTCACTAGACTGCACAAATGTCTTCTCAGTGCAACACAGTCACAAAAAATACACAAGGCGTGTATTTATCAATAGGTACACTACTAAAACTTACAATTGAAATCCTGCCTGTGCTGCCCTCTGCAGGCATATACTTACAAGGCTGTGATTATTATAAGGCTGCTTATGTCATTTCAAACATTCAACAAAGAGTTGGAGTTTCGTTTTCAGGAAAGCCTTACTTTGGGTGTCTGGCCTATCCCTTGTGAGTATTTGCATTATGTGTGGAGGGGACTCGAGTGCTTCAGGGCACCCTGTTTCCAAAGCACGCGTGTGTGCATATGTAGACACATATGCACGCACGTGTGCCATTCACCACGTTGCCTCATGTACAGCCTCGATTATCGCCGCCCGGCTAAAAAGTTATATTTTTTCGGTGGACCTGACTTTACTCATGATATATCCGAATCCGCAGTGTAATGAACCAAATTATGTCGGGATTGTACTGTACGGTATTTGTTTCTGGAGGAATAAATATTCCAGGGGAACGTATATTATCTGACATCAGCTCAGTGCAGTGAATCCTGCGCCACCTGGCCACCTCATTTCCTGTTTCCTCCTGCCAGATCGCACCCTTTGTGTTCTCATTTCAGACATCGATGGTGGCTCAGTGCACAGCCCGGTGAGTGATGCTGCTAATCCCGTCTGTGTGAGGCTGTGTTCAATGCTTAGGTGGGAAATTTTTCCTAACTTAGAGCTTAATAGGACTATTACATACCTTTGGCAAGCCAGACATTAATACACACACCTTGTTCACTTCTGTCACTGCAAGAGGTTCTTGTTTCAAACTTTTGTCAGAGAACCTGGGATACGTACAGGTCGTTGGGTCAGTGCAGGTTGGTGAAGTTGGGCAGCATAGATCTGGAAGCATAGAATCACGGTACAGCAATATATTTTGATGCTTTGCCTTCTACTGCCCACCACATAGCCCCGCAAAGCCATATGGCTTTCTGTGCTGGTTGCCTATTCAAATGCTATCCAGGCTCAACTCTGCTTAGTTTTCCAAGATGTGAGGCCATTGGGCCTAAACCGGATTATTTGGTCATTGGTCGTGTTGTGTCGGAGTTTCTTCATCCTGTGTGTTGTGGCCACGTGTTTGTGCAGCTGGAGTTGATGGTGGTGTACCGCTTGCACGAGCACATCTTACACCCTGTGGTGCGCCAGCTCATAGACATAAAGTGGAAAGCCTATGGGCGGTGAGTGAAAAACACTCCAGTTGAATATAGAGATACCCATAACAGAGACACGACTTGAATAGACTCTCTACTCGAAAAGAGCATCGTTAGATATATGCTTTACAACTAAGGGAGAAAGCCTCAATGTCTGTCATGGATGAGCCACGGTAACTTTTGGAAAGATGATCCGAGAAAATGATATTGCAGTATAAAGTTGTGCGTGCGGCTGTTCAGGATTTATGAAATATAGAAAACTGGCCGAATTGTTCAGAGGTTTACCCAAAACTACGAAAAAAACGGAACTTAATGGATTCGCCTTTCTGGACAAAGTGCGCACCTCCTTTCGCCGTCCACTCCCAATGATGTCATTAAGTGTGACCTCATCTCATTATACAGCTGGATACATAATGTTATTATCGCTAATTGGATACTTCCGAGGACAAACGCATGTTGCAAGTGTCACAGAATCCATGCGCATGCATTCCTTGCAGTATTTACTGTACATTTGACAGTCACCAATGAAACAAAGGAAGATCTAAGGCACTCCTGCGGTGATTTTACAACATAGTCAGCAAGCGAATACCTCAGAAATGATGTTGACTATGCAACTGCTGTGGGAACTGGCATAAGGAAGAAAGCAATGGTACGGTGTGATGGCATCGACAGCGATGCTCATAATGACCTCCATAAAATGGACTTAAATTTCTCACTTTGCTATCCCAAGGTGCTGCCTCTGGAGGCGGGGAGGTGAGCAGGGGGTGGAGCTCTGTTGCTCACGAGTAGGAGCCCGTGCACCCAATGGTCTCCCCATATATTTGCTATCGGAGACTGGTTGCCACTGCTTGTGATGGCCACAATCTGGAGGCGTCGCTGTGAAGGGTCCTCTTTGTTTTCCAGGAGGAACTCTTGGCTTCTGCTTGGCATGAACCTCTTTTTCATTGTGTCCTGGGTCGCGCTGATGGTGTCGGTGCCCTGGGAGGTGCGGCACATTTACACATTCCCAGGGGTAAGAGCTGCTGGCGTCCATCACCTTTAGCAAGGAGAGGTGACATACATGCCATGGTTGAGGGGATTTTACACTGCCAGATATCGTGTATACTTGAAATACTGGGCTCCGACATGTCCACTTTCTTAACAAAACCCTGTTATTTCCATGAAGACCAAAGTTAGCCCATTTACTTCTTGTAATTGATATGCTTTTTTTATGGTTACATTTAAAACGACTTATTTTACGTAAACCTTCTTACGCTACTGTATTCTTTACCCTAATCTGGCTGCTAATTCAGTCCTGGAACTGCCAGCTCAGAGGCCTCTTCACCCACAGTGAGCCGTGCAGATGAGTTAGCTGCGTGAGAGCTGACACGCGGCGCCGTGACGTTTGCGCGTGCGCTAGGACACATGGCGGGTGGTGCTGGCCATCGTGTGCCTTGCCCAGCTCTTCTACTTCATCGTGGATGAGCTGCGCGAAATCGCTCAGTCCAAGGCGGCGCTGAAGCGCTGGTGCACCCAGCAGCGCCAGCAGTTGGCGCGGGACTTTATTTACTGCCACCCTCGCTGGCCTGAGGTGAGAGGTCCGTTCTCACAAAAAATAAGCAGGCAATACATCGCCTTCGCATATCTGTCAGCTGCCCGCTCTTCAGAGAATGCACAATTTCAGCAGCATTGGACCAATACAAGCCATCAGTATACAGGGTGGTCCGTATATAGATACCATACCTTGTTTTTATTTGCATTTTAATCGAACCTGTGTCACTGGATTTGCGATACAATTTGTTAATCGGTTTTATTTGTGGTACCGCATGCCCAAATGTACCATGTCACCATCCTTTTTTACATCACGGGAAGCCAAGAAGAATTTTACCACGAAGACAGCACAGCGTGTTGGGAACAGGTATAATGTAATGCGGACAACCTATGCGAGTGAACGGTCTGCGCTGGAGGCGGAGCAGCTGCTACTGGTGGCACTTGCTGACCCCGGTTCCTGGTGCTTCTGTGTGGGACGTGCACCCCTAGGAAGCCTTGCACTTGCAGGCGGAGCTGGAGAAGGTCAAAAAGATAAGGCACTTCTACTTGCTGGACTTGTGGTAAGGTCAGCCCCAGACAAACTCTCCCAGTAAGCCAAGGTGAAGAAGATGACCACCTGTGTCGGCACACGTCATGTGTCTGTGTGTGGTGTGTATGTCTTTGGTGTTGGCGCTTTGAAAACAATGCGTGGCGTTGGTGTTCCCTACCGACCCTGCACGCCTGGCCTGTAGCCAGCCTTATGGAGTCTGGTGTGATATATATGTGCAATGTTTTTGTGCAAATGTGTGTGCTTTTGCACGTTCATGTTGATAAGTATGTGAAAAAGTTAACTCACAAGACCTGAGCTTATTCCGTGTCCTGTTAGCGAACCTTCAACCCTTCACCTGGCCTAGCATCACCTATACTAACACAAGCATCATGATGATGTTAACGCCACTTTGATGTGAATAGTGGTTGTCGTATGTGTGTGTGCATATGTAACCTGGGTTCAAATACTCAATTAGCCCAGCTAAGTTGCTTGCTGTGATGGATACATTTCATTTTACAGGCCGTTTCAAAATGGTAGTCATGTGGTTGTGGGTCATGAAATGAAGTCGCGGACCATATCCGCCCCATGGGGCCGAGATTCCCCATGATGCGGGTAAAACTGTGCGTGTGTGTGCACGGCAGGAACATCCTTGACTGGCTGACATACGCTATGCTGTTGGTCGTGTTCATCACCCACCTGGCGGACGTGGTGAAGCACAGTGAAAAAGTGGCCTACGTGCACCTGCAGCTCGTGGCCATCACCGTCGTTCCTCTCTGGCTGCGCAACATGAAGCACCTTCGCACCTTCCGGTAGTCGCAGCGTTTATCGCCAACAGCTTTATCGCTCTTAAATACTTCCAAGGAGAAACGCGTGTTGGAAAGCGTTGAGGGATCCATGAATACGCAAATAATGTTCTCCTTGTTACTTGTATCTTCCTTGATACGGCTAGCGTCTGCCTGTATATATGTACGTTGAACTTCTATCGCGCCATACATAGCCAACCGTGCTAATCGGAGGTGCGGCGGATGGACAACAAACTAAACACTGTCTTGCTGCCCGTGCTGACATGGTCAGGGTGCTGGGCACATTGATTGTGAGCCTGGGAGAGATGTCAGGCCAGGTGGTGCGGTTCGTCTTCCTCCTGGGAGAGTTCTACGTCTCCTTCTTCTTCTCCTTCTGGCTCGTGTTTGGTGGTGAGGCGTCCCACCCAACACGGCGATCCCAACACCCTCCAGCTTCCGACCATACTGAGAGCCGCGGCACGCCACGCTAACCCACCTCGCTAACCCACCTCGAACCACGGCACGCTACATTTCACCATGTCACACCATCCTCACGCACAGCCATGGCAAAGCACGCCATACCACGTCACACCGCACCACACCATGGCACATCACTTCACAATGCTCCACAGCACACTCTACCATGCCACGCCATACCGTGCCACAGCATGCCATGTGACAACACCACACCATGCTCTGCCACACCACGCCATGTAGCGCCACACTATGCTTGTGTAGCTTGGCCCTGCATTAATGTGAAGGTGGCAGTGGTGTGGTTGGATTTCTGGCGCCATCTATATAATAGGCAGCTCATCTGTACACATACATGTTTTGATGGCGAACTTTTCCTTGACGGCTGAATATATTTCAGCGAATAACACTGAAAGCTTATAATATGTAGTTTACGTGAAAAAGTCTGAATTTGTGAAAATAATTGACCTTTGGTCCTAAAGTTCACCTCAGTGGCCCAGGGGCTGCTTAGCTGCTCTATCATTTACAATAGCTTCTTGCGTGACCTGCAACTGTTTCAAAATTATACAATGGATAGGTGTGTCATTCTGGGGAGCGTGCAGTGACAGGGAGAGCCATTGAATCTCAATGGGCTTCCTCCACTAGATCGTATAAACTGGTGAGTGATGAGGCTCGGGCGACATAATGACTGGCAAGTGTCAAGTGAGTGGGGCGGTGACATGGCCTAGCGGTAGCACGTCCGTCCCTTGTAGAGGTTCACGGTTCGAATCGGACAGGCCACCCTGGTTATTACTGCGGGTGTATTAAACCATAACGTGAGCCATTTGATTCACAGTGGATGTTAAAGACCCCCTGACGGCATTAAAAATGAGTAGGCTATTGTGTGCCGGAGTCATGGTCCAAATTTATCCGCACATCATTCAATTACGATTAAACGTGGCAATATTTCCACCGACTGTGAAACTTCTGCAGATCATGTCTCTGAAACATAGTCCCTCCATGATAGCCTTGCGCTAAAAGAATGGGACGAATACCAAATTACTAAAATTATTATGATGAATGTCACAATGGGCAGCTGAGTGCAACGTGTGTGTCACATCATCCCGTTCATAGAACAGGCTGCCCTCTAGTATTTGATCGGAGGTACTGTGACAGGAAATCTTTTGCCAGATTAGACGTCAAAGTTTGTTCTTGTAACGTGGATGGCAACTGCTTCTGGAAGGCTGAGACACCATCACAGATGCCTTGTGAGGCAGCACTCCCACATGCTGGTGCTCCATTCTCTCTCTCAACCAATCAAATCAATCACTTCCTTCATTCAGCAAACAGCTGAGAGACATTATTTTCTTATGAATGTAGCAAAACAACATTCGGCGTTTAAAGTGTAAAGGACATTCTGGGGCTGTAATGATTTCACTCCTTAAGGGATTCGATACATTGTCCCGGTTTAATTAAAAAAATTGTATCATATTTACCCTCTCATTTGTACTGATTTTCATTTGTTCTTTCTCTATTTTACAATTGTGTTTACTCCATGCGATTGACATTAGCATATCGTGTGCATGACTCGTAAATAATCCAGGCTCACAGGAAATAATTCTTCGCATGTATCGTGAACGTAAGAATTAATTTTACTCGATGGATTGCCCGCATCATTACATGCCTAGAACAACTTGATTGATTTCACTTCTGGACTGAGATTATCTATTTGTAACCTATTACTATATCACCCGGAATTTACTTGATCTCATCAGATGTCCGAAGCTAAGCAGGTATGAGCCTGGATAGTGCTTGGATGAGCACCCACGATGCTCTCGAGGTGTCATAGGCATCTGTGGGGCTGTGCTACATTGAGGACAGCACAGAGCACTCAACGCACCGTGCCTTCACAGCCTGCACTGACAAGCGGTCTTTTTATATATCACAGCTGCTGAGCAAAGGCCTAAAATGCCAATCAGCCAACAACAAACATCACTTCTGAAGGTGTAATAGAACAAGCCCATCGTCCATATGGGGTCGATAGAATGATTACCACTTTGTGGGGAAGTCAACAGTGGTTGTCCTATGGATATACTCACCACCACCAAAGGAATTTGGAACATCCACCACTGGCTCAGGGTTGTAAACAGGAAGTGAGCACCTCATTACTCATTTAAATCACTTTTAATCAAATAAATTACACTAATCAAGGTGGAATAGCAGTGAAGTATGGTCAAATAACCCCCACAATGTGAGGAGTCTCTCACCCAGCAATGAGTGGATTGACACAAGGGCTGTTGCTATTGACGCGTTGGGGATGCAGGATTTGGCTGAACGCGGACGGTGCCTCCTTTTGTATTTTCCTCTCCGTGGGGCCCAGCTCCACGCTGACACGCGTGGCTCCCTGTCGGCCCGGACAGGCTCTCAGGTGGACACGTTCAAGTCGGTGCACGAGGCGCTATACACGCTGTTCCGCCTAAACGTAATCGATGATGTGGAGTACACGGCCATGCACGAGCACGACTCCGTGATGACGTACCTGCTGGCGGGCACCTTCCTCAGCCTCACCGCCATCCTCTCCATCAACATCTTCATCGCCCTCATGAGCGACATCTTCACCAGGTCTTGTGCTCACACTGGGTGGGAGTGAAGGTCCGGACAATTGAGGGGGCAGGGTTGGGTGGGGCAGTCAGGAAGGGCTGGTGTTGGAAATTTGGGGCGGGAGAATTGTTAATGAAACCATCAGCGTCACTCGGTCGCCACTGGAAACACAGGCAGATCCGTTAATATGTGTGCGAGTGTGTGTGCCACTGTGTGTCAGGCCACCCATCCCCTCGTGTGCCATACAGGCCTTCATAGGTGCTTGCTAAATACAGTTGACCAGCCGTCTGTTAAAGGCTATATGGGGGTCTTTGTGTGTGTCAATGTGTACCAAGAGCCCCCATATAGCCTTTGCTAGACTGTTGGGGCAACAGTCAATGGGGAATGGTTTTGTACTGTGTTTCCAACCCAGCCACCCTAGTTTGATTGACAGATGTCTGATCCGGTCCTGGGCCTCCCCTAGGTCGACTCAGACATAAATACGCACCTGGTGTGGTGTGTAAACATCAGAACTGAGGACACAAAGACCACCGGGCCTGGTTTTGGCCACACCATCCCTTGCTCCAACATTCTGAGATGCAACTTGCATGAATGATGGCGCTATATGAAGTCACTTATTATTCTGTTAAAAGCTATAGGGGAGACCGTTGTGTGTATGTGCATGGGGAGCGGTGGCACAGCACTAAGCACAGTGTACTACAAAGACTGATTTCGATTCTTGGCAATGGTTGGTGTCAGTGGCGCGTGATGTCTGAGACCGTCTTGGACCTCCCTACATGGTGGGAGGGTGTGTGTGTGTACAGGGTAGAAGACAGCCCATCAGTGAACGTGTACGTGCAGCGTGCCATTGTGCTGCTGCAAATTGAGGGCAACCGCTACATCCGGCGCCGGCGGGACGAATTGCGCCGCCACGTGCAGCTGCACTGTGCGCCGCTGGCGGTGTATGGTATCAGCGGCGATGGGGAGGCCGCAAGACATTGGGTTGAGCCACCCGACACCACAGGCCACATTGGCGAGCTGTTCGTAAGGGTGATGGCGCTCTTGAGGACCGGCGGGCCAGGCAAGCGCAAGGATGGCAATGGCGTTAGCGAGGTGGACGAAGAAACCAGCGTGGCCGGGTGACAGCACAAGCGAGACACTCGCAGTAGCAACTAGGATTCCCAGGATAGTGCGATATATTGTACTATACGTGGTCTGCGATAAATGTATAATTTGTTTTGCTAAATATCTTTATATATTGATGATCATTGCTCAAATTTCACAAATGTATGTGAAATTTAATTATTTCACAATACTGAAAGTTATACATAAATAGCTATTGCCCATTAAATTATTTGTAAAAACTTTGCCAGAGTAATTTGTGCGTCGCGGTTATTTGACATAATTTTCCTCCGATTGCAAAGTCGCCACTATTAGAAGACCTACATCAGGCTTATATTGAGTGAAGTGCAGTTGAAGAACCTTTTAGAAGCCTTCATACTTGCAGTAAATCAAAGTACAAACACAAGACATCATTATCAAACACAATACAATTAAAATATAAAATACAATTATAAATGCATGGGAAACTGATATCGCGATAATCTTTATAGCGTGAAAATATTTATGGCAACCCTAACAACTACAACCAACACGAGCTGATTCCATTGCTGCATCTCCACGGTGGACGTCTTCTCAGCTGTATTCCCTTCTTCGTTTGCAACTCCGTTGTTGGTCTCGACCACTGGCCATCATCCCTTCCAACGACCTGTAACGCTCAAGCCCACTTACTTTTCTGGACAGTCAAACTGGTGTGTTAAACCTGTGCATGTTATCTCATCCATGTGTTCCTCTTCTGTCTCTCTGTTAGTCCAAGAATGCACCTCTCCATGCTTCTTTGGAAATTATTGGATTTTATTCAATTTAATTCGTTGATGTCCATACATTGTAGCAGGTAACACGGAGAAGACCGTGTGAAATAACACCGGAGTTCTTTGTGTCTTTGTCGCCGTGCGGACTGTGTCAGGGAGGAGGTCCGCTCGATGCAACAGAGCATCCGGGCACTGAGGAGGGAGCTGCAGCAGGCGACGGAGGAACAGCAGAGCCTGCAGCAGGCCCTGCAGGATGAGCTGGAATTGATATACACCTGCCTTCAGCACCTGGGCATCACTTTTACCAGTACTAATGTTTTAACACCTGAAAAATGTGATAATTACTCGCAAGCCTCATAGAAATATGACCTACACCTACCGTGAAACTACTGCAGGCTATAATATTTTGCATAGTGGGTTTCGCCTTGTACGTATGGTGGAGTTTCTCTAGGTACTTGGGTTCTTTCCCACATAAAGGTGCTCCTTAAAAATGGGCAAACATCCCAATGCGAGATCTTCTTGAAAAATTCTGAAGATACGGTGTGCGGCTTTTGTGGCTATTGTTGGAATGTGCACGGTACTGAGTGGTGGTGGCTTGTGATGTGTGAATCGTACGGCATCTGAGTTCTCTCCACTGTTATTGCGGCCACATCACACACCCAAGACGATGCCCAAATGTGCAGTACCCCTAACTGTATGTAGAGAGTAAGGTAGTACCGCTCACTGTGCAATTCACTGCGGCTCACAACACAGCTCACCACAGCTCACCACACAGCTCACCAAACACTTCAGCGAGCAGCTCAATGGATTGCTCACCACACAGATATATGGGACCTGGGTCTGAGTCCTGCCCTCTTTGATTTCTGTCCTCATGTAGAAAAGCAACTTCACCTGTGGATCAGTAATGTAGCATGAATGGCACAGGCTCTGTTACAAAGAATAAAACATGGTCCTCATTTATGCATCCTGGCTCCCCACCACTGCCCTTTATAGCCTGACCCCTGAGCTCCTCCAGCCTGTGGGCCCTGTTGCAGTTGCAATTTCTTCACATTTAGTAGATACACATGTGGGCTGGGTCGTTTTGCCTGACCTATCCAGGACCGTGTACCATCTTTGTGCCTGGTGGATGTGCCATACTTCGTTTGTCAGTGTGTTTTGTGGAAGGGGCGGCTGACTGATTTCTTTTTCAATTGCATATAAAAAATAATATTGATCTGTTTATTGGATGGGTGACCACCATGCATAAGAGCTGTTATAGGCTGCTGTGGGGCTACATGCTAAGCAGCAGAGGCGAATGCAGCAAAATACTTATTCCATAAAATCTTGTTTTGTAAACATAATTACCTTAAAAACGACATCGCACATGTACTGTGACTAATCTATGACCAAATCACCTGGAATGTGCCTGATTGTCTGGTTTGCGAATTAGCCCGAGCTTGTGAGAAAATGTAAATAAAAGAAAGTGTTGTTTGCACATGTATCTGCTCGTGACTCTGTACAATAACTTTAAGAAACATTCTACATCTTCACCACAATTCTACCTATGTGAATGATATGTTTATTTTTATAGCCTAATTTACATATATTTTAATTATACAAAGATTTTGTTGAAAATATGGAGAGCCCTTTATCAATTCACTGCTGGGGTACTCTAGGACAAGTTAAGATATCACTTGCCACTGATTTTAGCCTAGGCCAAGCATCAAGCTTAGGTTGCTGAACTCATAGCGTAGTGCGCGAACCACTCTCCCCCTGTCTCTCTCACTCAGGGGGTTCACAATGGATGTGTCAGAGACACTAAGAACCTGAGTTTGACCCCGATGCACAGGTGTCTCCGTGACGGTCTTAACAAACCCTCTGAGAGAGAGTGCAGACCGAAGACTTTAACCTCGTTCCTCACAGCTTGCCAACCCTTTCAGTGTGAATTATGAATTTTTACGTTTTTGGTGTATCCGGCCCATCCTACCCCCATTACCCGACCATATTTCACCACGCTAATCAGTGTTGGTTGCCCAGATCCAGTTTATAATCACTTGCTACTGATGTTAGCCTTGGCCGGACATCAAACTCATGACCGCCAGGTTAATTGCACAATGTACTAACTGCTGTGCCATTACTCCACCCAATAGCACCGTGTGATAATGGGCCCTGCTGCTCACAATGTAGCCCCACAGCTGTATGACAACCTGTTGCAAATGTCATCCCGTAATTCTAAATAAATATGCATCAGTAGACGCTTCTTGTTCTTTGATAGTGTTTTTTTTATTTTTCTCTGCCAGTGATAATGCAATGGTGCTGTTGGCATTATGCCATGGCACAAAATTCCATTTGAAACTCTCAACGACCAGTGCATCACCACGTATTGGAGAATGGTCCCAGAACATAACAGAACTGCTTCTAAAATCACTTCAGTAAAGGTATTCTTTATCCAAAGGTTTTCTTTGTATGCCCTCTAAAAAGTGTGAGCCATATGCGAAATCAAAATTTTCATTTTCCAAGCTGGAATTTAGCCAAATTAAATTACAAACTACATTTTTGTGCAATCATTGGTGACTGGGCTGAGACCGTACACTTTTCACTTGAGGTCCTGTATTAATCACAGCTCAGTCTGTATATCTATGGGTCTCTATACAAGTTTATGGACCTCTTACGTCTACACGAGTGTGGTCTGTATGCACATCTGTGGGTGTGTCTATGGTTGTCTGTTTATGTATTACTTTAGGTTTTTATTTGAGTCTTGGCCTGCGAATCACTGGTGATCAGGCAGAGTCAATCAACTGTCTACACTTGAGTACCTGGATTAATTAAAGCTCAGTCTGTATATCTATGGGTTTCTATGTCATTCTTAGTCTATGGATGTCTTTGTAAGTATGTGGGTGGCAATGTAAGTTTGATATTCTGAGTGTATGACTGGATGTCTATGGCTCTAATACCATAGATCTCTGTAAACGTAGGTCTGTAAGTGACTGGTGACATGGCCGAGACCACCTTGCTACAGTTGAGAACGCGGTTTGATGGTCAAGTGGTGGTGCACACTCAAGCTAGAAAGCTGTGTTTGATCTTCAGCCATGGCTAACATCAGTGGTAAATTTCATGTGAGTTGATCCAATAACGGGGTGGTGCAGATTGCTTTAAACTTGACACCCTATCACGTGACCTGTTTTAAATTCACAATAGGGGGCAGCACTGTACCACGCACCCTTCCAATGAGGTAAATGTTGCATAGCAGCCAAATCATATTTTGAATACATAATTTATTTACTGTGCTCAGAACTGAAATGTATCCCAATTAAGTGATAACACTGTGTAACAATTGTTTTTGTTCCTGGGTAGTAAGTGTTATTTCCTAATAGCTTATATCTCAAAAGTACAGAAAATAGCTATTATTCCCTCACAAACTTTGCCTTTGTGACCAGGACAGTGATATTTTGAAATGTACCTATTTTTAATGAGAAAACAGGCGAATGTGTATTTTCGTTAACATAAAGTCAGAAAAAACAACATGAATAAAAATTAACATGTATTTATACTAAAGTAATAATAAAAATACTACAAATAAATTATGTGACAGTGTAATCAAACTTAATGTGATGCTGTTTTGCATGCGGTAATTGGTGTCCAGGCTGAGACCATAAAAGTTTTAGCGTGGGTGGCTGAAACCTGAATTTACACCCAGGTATCAGTGGTGCAGCCTATGACCATATCACCCAGTGTCCCAGTTCCACTATATGTCAGAATCTTAGCGGGGTTAAGCACGGGATAATGCTTGGATGAGTGACCACCATGCACAAACAGGGCTTGGCAGCATAGTGCACAGGATGAATCTATTTTTGTACTCTTTATTTCCACACGCGCCTGTCCGTGCTCCTTGCCATTACCAACCCACACTGGCCAATGTTACTGAAGTATGGTCAAATAACCCCCAAGATCTGTATGGCACGTGGAGGGCCCTCGTCTAGCAGTGGATTGACACAAACAACCTGTTTGTACATCAGCGGTGCAAGGGGCAGGGGGCGCTGTGATGGCGCAAAATGTCCCGGAGACCCTGCGATATTTTTACCGCCGAGAGATGGCGACGGTTTGGGGATGCCTTCATCCAGCAGTGGATCGATCATGGTTGATAATATCTCACATGGGATTTGCTGGGGGAGGGGGGGGCCGAGAAGGGTCCCAGGAAAAAAAGTGGTAGTGGCCCTGGGAACGCAGTTGTGGTGGGGGGGGGGGGGTAGAGAAGGGGGAATCCATAGAGCGCCTTGAGACAAACAAGAGGTAGGGGCCTTTCTGGGACGAGATTGGGGAGGGATGGGGTGCAGTGGCAGATTAAAATGCCCCCCCGCCCCATACCTTAAGAGCGTGAAAATTGTTATTTTGTTGATATTTACTCCACCCCCTCCCCGCCGCCTCACGAGGAAGGGGGGTGGAAGGGGGGACCGGGGGGAAGGGAAGGAGCCTCTTAGAGGGTGGATTGAAGGGGTTAAGGAGGAGGCGGTCCCCCCCCCTCCACCAGGGGCGGGCTGCGGGGGGGGTGCCGGGGGGCGGGCTGTGGGGGGGGGGCTGGCTGTGGGGGGGGGGCTACCGGGGGGCGGGTTGTGGGGGGGGGGTTGGCTATGGGGGGGGCGGCCTGGCTGTGGGGGGGGGCTACCGGGGGGCGGGTTGTGGGGGGGGGTTGGCTATGGGGGGGGCGGCCTGGCTGTGGGGGGGGGGCTACCGGGGGGCGGGCTGTAGGGGGGGGGGGGCAGCGGGGGGGATTGAACGGTTAAGGGGAGAGGGGCTGCAGGAGGGCGGGGCTGTGGGGGGGGTGACGCTGTCACGTGACGGGCGGCCGAACCATCATGGCGGACGCGGCACGGCGCTGGAGGGAGCGGAGCGTCAGCGCGAGTTTGTTTACCGCGGTCGCGCTCTGAAGTCGATGGCCGATTTGCGCGGGCAGTGCGGGCGAACGGCGCCGTGAAAAATGAAAGAGAAGCAGAAGAAGAAGAAAGGCAGGACATGGGCGGAGGCAGCGCGCTTGGTACGAGCCCCGCGCGACACTCGGGGCGCGCGCGGAGCGAGCCGAGGCCTAGGCCAGGCTTCTGCCCGGGCTCCCCCCGACCTCGCCTGAGTCTTCCCCCCCGTTGGCGCGGTACCCCGTTCCCGGGCGCCCCCGGGCTCAACGCGAGGGTTTCCCCCAATTATCGCCTGAACTCCTCGTTTCGCCCTGTCGTCTCCCCGTGTCCCCCCCCCCGCCTCCACTTGGACCCCTGCCCCGCGCTCTCTTGGGTTCTCCCCTGTTTCTCCTGGTACCGGACCCGCATCTCTTCCCTTCCTCGATCACCCGGCGTCTCCTTGTCCCCGCTGCCTGTAGCCCGGGTCCTCTCCGGCCCTGTGAGAGCCCGCAGAGCGGAGTTGTGGAGGGAGACTCGCTCCCCCCGGCGTGAGTTTCTCCGGCGGAGAGACAGAGAGAGAGCGGCCCTGGACCGTACGGCGCGAACCCGCGCTGTCAGCGTGGAGCGAGCGGGACGGGCTGAGACGGGAGAGTTCGTGTACCCTCATATGTGTGTGTGTGTACCCTAATGTGTCTGTGTGCACCCTGATGTGTGTGTGTGTACCCTGATGTGTGTGTCCTGGTGTGTACGTGTGTGTCTTGATGTGTGTGCCCTGATGTGTATGTGTACCCTGGTGTGTGTGTACCCTGATATGTGTGTCCTGGTGTGTATGTGTACCCTGATGTGTATGTGTGTACCCTGATGTGTGTGTACCCTGATATGTGTGTCCTGGTGTGTATGTGTACCCTGATGTGTGTGTGTGTACCCTGATGTGTGTGTGTCCCTGATGTGTGTGTGTGTACCCTGATGTGTATGTGTACCCTGATGTGTATGTGTGTACCCTGATGTGTATGTGTGTACCCTGATGTGTGTGTGTACCCTGATGTGTATGTGTGTACCCTGATGTGTGTGTGTACCCTGATGTGTGTATGTGTACCCTGATGTGTATGTGTGTACCCTGATGTGTGTGTGTACCCTGATGTGTGTGTGTGTACCCTGATGTGTGTGTGTGTACCCTGATGTGTGTGTGTGTACCCTGATGTGTGTGTGTGTGTACCCTGATTGTGTGTGTGTCCTGGTGTGTACGTGTGTCTTGATGTGTGTGCCCCCTGATGGGTGTGTGTCCTTATGTGTATATATACCTTGGTGTGTTTGTGTACCCTGATGTGTGTGTGTCTTGATGTGTGTGTGTCCTGATGTGTGTGTGTACCCTGATTGTGTGTGCCCTGATGTGTATCTTGATGTGTGTGCCGCCTGATAGGTGTGTGTCCTGATGTGTGTGTGTACCCTGGTGTGTGTGCGTACCCCGATGTGTGTGTGTGTGCCCTGGTGTGCGTTCACTGCCATGTTTGTACCCCTGGTATCAATGTATGGACTCGTTTTTTGTGTACCCGTATGCGTATATGTCTGACGTGTGATGGTGTGCACCCTTGTAATTCACATGCACTTAGGTGTGTTTGTGTCTGTGGGTTTGTGTACTCTGGTGTGTGAGGCATGTAGCGTGTGCCTTCTGTATGTGTACCCGCGAGTTTGTGTACCTGTGTGTTTGTGAATCTGTGTTTGTGAGCGTACCCTGGGGGTGTTGTGTTTCTCTGTGCTTGTGTAGTCGTGTGTTTACCCGTGTTTACCTGTATGTTCGTGCGTGTGTGTGTGGGTGTGTGTACCAGTGTGTAATTACCCGCGTGTATATGTCTAAATTTGTGGACCAATGTGTATTTGTACATGTGTGTTTATATACCCGTGTGTGTGTGTACTAGTATGCATTGACTTGTGTGGGTACCTGTTGGCGGTGGCATAGTGCTTAGCACACTGCCTTTGAACCTGGCGACCCGAGTTCTATTTCAGCTCACGGCTTACATGAATGAGAAATATCGGAAACAGTTCTGTAACTCCCCTAGGTCGGCTCAGCCTTGAGTACCCAGTGCTGTGTGTAAACATCAGCACTGGATAGACAAAGGCGGCAGTGCACCGCTTCGGTGCTAGTTAACAGCACTTGCCCCCAAAAGTCTGTATGGTCAAAGGGCGGTCGTTTTGTACCAGTGAGCTATTGTACATGTGTGCACCCGTGTGTTCGCGTGTGTGTATGTGTATGAGGAATGGTGGCGCAGTGGTTAGCGTGCTGCGATTCCCGCTCACGACCATCGCCAGTGACGATTACCTGAACCGGTCCTGGTGCGGTATGTAAACATCACCACTGGGGAGACAAAGGCGGTCGGGCATGGTGCTGGCCACCCACCCCCTTGTGTATTCTCTAAGAACACTTGCCCCAAAATTCTGTTAAGGTTTTAAGAGGGATCTTTGTCCCTGTATCTCTGTGTGACCATAAGTGAGTGAACCTGTGTGTGTGTGTACCCTTATTTGTGTACGTGCGGGTGTGTGTGTAAACAAATTGTGTGTGTAATCGTGTTCCCGTGTGTGTCTACCCTTTTGTGGTTGTTCTCGTGTGTTCCCGTGTGTTTGTTTACTATGATGTCTACGTTCCCAATGTTCTCTCCACGTGTACCCTGGTGTGTTCATGTATTGGTTGTGTGTGTACCTGTGTGCATATCCTGTGACGTGCGTGTACACAGCTACTGAACTTATTATACATTTTGTACTAGCGCCATTATTATAGTATAAGGCTGTCTCAAGTACGCTGTCTCGCAAGTCTCCAATAGTTTAACGCTTGTTGGCGATGTTTCTTTGTATATGGCCGACTACATTTCTTATATAGCATTACTGGATCTTTGATGTGCACTATGAAGCACATGACTCGTATCTCTGGTTAACACCTGCAGAATTAACCAGGGCTGCCCTAGGGCTCGAACCGTGAACTTCTGCAAATGCGCTAATACTCGGCCATGTCACCCGTGTTGATGTTTACACACAGTACTCGTTACCAGAGTGTTTGCATTACCCTGGTGTGTTCACGTACCGCTGTATCCTGTGGTGTGCATCAGTGGCGCACACCAGGCTAAGGATTTCAGACGGGGGTACATTGTTTCCCTCGCAAGAGTACTCGGCTGAAATGAGTGAATTTGTGAATTGTTTCTGGAAAAATACAAAAAAAATGTTCTAGTGATATAAATAATTTGCCATTATCTATCCATTGCTGGATGAACGTCTCACCAAACCATCACCATTCTTTCATGTTCTAGTACTGCTACCATCCATCTAATTTTTGTACATCTCTGCAGTGGTCATCCTCTTGGACGTGTTCACATTTGACTGCTCTTCCGTCACGAGTCTTGTCCATCAGCCACCATCCCATATAGATGTGTCCTTCCCAAGCCTAGGTACTCTGTATGCATATATGTTGAACTTCTTTCGCACCGTACTTAGCCAATTGTGTTAATTGGAGGTGCGGGGAAAAGACAACAAACTAAACAAAAAAAATGTAATTATCAATTTGATGCATTTTATGTATCTTCCCTGATGCATGCCTCTCAATGCAATTTCAATCATGCCTCTCTCCACTTTTGAGCTCTTGCTCCATATTCTTCATTCAGTGTCCCATGTTTTTGATTTGTATGGCGGAGCAGGTTGTACGCACTGATTGATATTGTCATCTTCAGACACATCAGTATGCTTCTCTCTTATTTAGTGTGTTTCAATTCTCAAAGGTACTCCATGCTGCTGTTGTTTTTCTTTAATTCATCCTTTTGATCCTGATCCGTCTTTAGAAAGCTGCAATAGGTACCCATATTCTGTGTTTTCAAGTTGTGTCCCATTGACACTTGTTTTATTTTCTTTAGCAATGGCTATCTAAAAATTTTCAGGGGAAAGTGGTTGGGGGCACTGCCTCATTCGCCCCCCCACCCCCAACACATGCACCCGGGGGTGTGGTGATGTGTGTGCGGGCAGGGGGAGCGGTAGTGCAGCGGTTAGCTCGTGCACTGTGAGCCCGGCGACTCGGGTTAAATTCCCACTCGCAGTTAACACAGGTGACGAACATGTCAACCAGTCCTGGGCCTCCCCCAGGTCCACTCGGGCCTCTACATGAGAGTCTGGTGTGGTGTGTAAACATCAGCACCGGCGTGGTGCAGGCCACCCACCCCTTCATGTGCTGTGCTGGACTCGATCGGTGCTCACTCTCAGCACTTGGCCCAAAACTCTGTTAAGGCTATTTTGGGGATTTTTGTCTTTATATACATGTGTTTGTGTATCCTGGTGTGTTGACATATCCTGGATGTGTATGACTCTTCCTGTTGATTGCCAACGTAAAGCGTGAGACCGTGGTAAACACGTCCTCAAGCGCTGCAACATCTCGGTTTCGTCTTCGGGGAAAGACTCGCTTGGGGTTCGGTGATGATCCGAGTGGCTGGAAAACTCGAGTCTGTAGTCTCTCATTGCTGCATCCCCTGCACGCCCATGTAATGCAAGGATCTGCTCCGATGCCCGATTCGTTTAGCACGCTCGGCGTGAGGCCTTGCGTCCTCGTGCAGTCTTCTCCGGTACGCTGCGCGGGGAGCTGAGACCATCCCTGCCTCAGTGGGTTTGCTCGGCTATCGATGAGGCCCCCAGCATCCTGATGCTGGAGTGATGAGCACTTGTGTGGTGCGCGGTGAGGGCTCTCGGCTCTACCCATCTCCGCCCCCTCCCTTACCTCTCAGTGCTGTGACCCCACTCCCCTCACCCCTCACCCCACCCCTCCCCTCCCACCCGCAGGTCCTGGAGAAGTACCCTCGCCCTATGAGCCACAAGGAGATCCTGCAGGTGATCCAGAAGGAGGGGCTGAAGGAGATCAGGTGCTGACCCCCCCCCCCCACCACATCTCACTCACACACAAGTACTGGGGAGACAGGTGGCAGGGTGTGGTGCTAGCCACACCATCTTTTTGTGCCTTGTGCTGGCCTCAGTAGGTGCTCACAACAGCACATGCCCCAAAAGAGCCTTTCCAGCTACAGGAGAATCTTTGTGTTTTTTTGCTCTTGCTCAAACTGCTGTCTCATTATAATTCTTCAATAATGGATTATACCTTTATGGAGACACTGTATTTTTAAGATAGCCTAACAGTACTCCTGTTTTAATGAAGGGCTGTGCAGTAGGAAGGGCTGTAAGTATTTACACAGCAATGCTGTACCATTGGTGGTTTATGTTTCTGCGATGCTGGTGGAATTGCTTGTCCTTCGTTCAGTGAGAACTCGATTATTCCTCTGCAGCTCCCATTGTCTGGAAGTCTCTTCCACCAGCTGCCCATGCCATATATTTTCTGCCCCTCATCAAGTGTGTTAAACCGCCATACATGGCAGGTTGTCATAGGTGGCTGTGTAACTGCATTGTGAGCAACGATGGGTAGGTAGTTCAGCAGAGTCCATTCGTGGTGAAGTGTGATTAAAATATCTTAAAATATCCGTACAGGCGTAGGGTTGCCCTCATCCAGCAGTGGATTGACAGACGCATCTTTACATGTTCTCCTCTTCAGGCCCGCCGATGTAACCCTCCGAGGTTCATTTTTCTAGCAAGGGTTGTATTTTCTAGATCCATCATCATGGGACCTCCTTTGCCAGTACCAACATATGATAATAGGTTTTCCCCATTTTTCTGGCAACAAAACAGGTGTTAAGATGTTAAAACACCAAACTGAAACCTTTTACAAGGAATAATGTTTGCATTAACCACAATACTTGTGGCCAGAATGCAAACAAAATAAACTCTGATAATATATGCATTGTCTTTGAAACTTATTTTTTGTTTGCATTCTGACCACAAGTATTGTGGCTAATGCAGACATGATTCCTTGTATAAGGTTTCAGTTTGGTGTTTTAACATCTCAACACCTGTTTTGTTGCCAGAAAAAAATGGGAAAACCTTTTCTAGACCCGTTCCTCCAAATATGCGGCTCGGATGAGCCGCCCATTGTGATGATGGTTATTATTGGTGACATGGGTGTGGAGATCGAGACTTTAAAGTCCACCTGCCCTCCTTGCCACCGCCTCGTAAAATCTGTCATCGGAGGGGGCGCATGTGTGTTGGTTTCTGATGGCGGGGGTGGCGGGGGCATATACGATGTAGATTTGGGACTCTTTCTCGAGCGTGAGCCTGGTGCCTCGAGCCGAGCGTTTTGACTTTATTCCAGGTACTGCTATGTATGTGATTTCACCATAACTTGCACCCCGCATGTCCTTTGGACATGACGTTACTTCCTTCCAGCCAGCCAGGAAAAACTTTTAATCTTATATAGAGCTGTCTCTCTCTCTTGCCTTCTCTGTGCTAGACTGTAAATCCCAATGCATCTCGATTTCTCACTTAGTCTGCGTTTCTATCGGTTTCTCTATTCCTCTTTCCCCTCTTCTACCTCACCCTCAATATCCGTTACCTTCCTCCACTGTATCTCACCCACTTCACTCCCCCCATCTCTCTCCCTGTTTCTCTCTCTCACCTCTCGCTCTCCTTATTCCCGCCTCTCCCATTCACGTCTTATTCCATCATGCATCTTTCTAATGCTCCCACCTGCTGCCTTTCCTCGCTCTCCTCGTTATGTTTTGCTCTCTCACTTTCCTCCGTTTCACGCCCTGTCCGTTCCTTTCTGCCTCATCCTAACTCCTCTGTCTGCCTCCTCTTAACTTCCTCACCTCCCTCTTCTATCTCTCTCCTCTGTCTCATTTGTACGGGATACACGGCTGGGGTGGACAAAGGGTAGTGGGAGGGCGTGATGTCAGTACGACGCACGAACTCGGCTCGGCGCTGTGGGATGCAGACTTGTGTGTTAGCCAGCCAGGCAGACAAGAATTCAGGTAGGAAGCCAGCCAGAAAAGCTTTTTCTGATATAGTATGATAATACCCATGAGTAAAATATACATTTATAAAGCACCTTTCTAGATGCTACTCAAGGTGCTGTACATCACTAAAAATATAGGCCAAGGAGAAGAAAAAAAATCAGAAGACAAATAGAAGGTGATGTAGAGAAGCATCGGTATAAGAGAGAGAGAGAATAAGCGCGTGTCGTGGTGGGGTTTCTACGGGGCGCCGTTGTCTCTGAACCGCGAACACAACTGGGCAGGGCGCTGCGCAGTCGGGAAGCAGCGCAGCAGAAGGAGGCACGGCCACCAGTCGTGCCGAGCCGAGTCCGAGGGATGCACGGGGTGGGGTGGGGGACGCTGGATATCGACGAACGAAGACTTCGCGATGATGGCACCGATGGGAGGTCAAATCTATCGGATAACTTGGTTGTCCACTTTTGACAGCCCTCATAGGTTAGCGTAAGAATCTTAATTTCCACTCTGCACATCGTAGCAATTAGCTGGTGAAGAGAAGCCAGGACCAGACTAATACGTTTGCAGGCCGGGACCCTTCACCATTTGTTACTTAAGTCGCTCTCCTTCTAACCCAGCCTCCATAGGTCACAAATGGCAAACAATTAATCCAGAGTGTGAATAACACATTCCTGCGGAGGGAGCTGCTAGGAACGTTGGGTTGCTCGGTCAATGGTCAGGGTCAACGGCGGCGTGGTGTATTCCGCAAATATATCTGACTGTGAGGGCGAGCACAAGCTGGCGTGAGTAGGTTAAACGTTGAGTTTTATAAGGGCACCACGGGGTGACCAGCCCCTCCCCACCCAGCCCCACCCCTCCCAGCCCCACCCTCCCCACCCAGCCCCTCCCCAACCTCCCTTCCCCACCCAGCCCCACCCTCCCCACCCAGCCCCTCCCCACCCAGCCCCTCCCTCCCCACCCAGCCCCTCCCTGCACGACGGACAGACACACATAATCTCCCGTGGGCTGGTGTAACCAGGAGGTTCCTATCAGTATAACACGACGATTAAGTTTACCAGTCAGTGCAGATGGTGTATGGCTCACAGATTATAATGCTGTACAAACTGCGGGCACCTCGTAGGCTAGCCGAGACCTGTTTGTGCAGGAGCAGTAAATATACGGCAGCGGAACGCCAACAAAAACAGAAAGCGCAGCAGCAAACAGCAGCGGCAGCCCGTTTCATGAAGCCTTGTGTGTTGCTGTGCGTGCACCCCTGCAGCATATTTTCTTGTGCTGCTGCTGACCCTTACGACACGATCCAAGTAATCCATTATGAATCGTTATAATGGCTGTGAAAAACCTACGCGTTGAGTTGAAACATTTATTTTGTTCATTTATGACATGAATGTGAAGTCAATGCAATAAATGGAAGTGCACCCACCAACAGAGCACGTGGGTGACCGGTTGTCGAATGGCAAGGATTCACCAACTTCCACACCACGAATAAGTATATAGCTCTAGATTTGCTTCTGCTGCTAAGTGTGATAATGCTGGTAAAGGTAGCGAGCGATGGTCAGTGTGGTAAGGGTAATAGCACACGCTGACCCTCTCTTTGTCTGTGTCGCCGGCACTCAGTGGTACATCGCCCCTGGCCTGCCTCAACGCCATGCTGCACACCAACTCACGTGGGGTCGGGGGCATCTTCTTCAAGGTGCCCGGCCGCATGGGCGTCTACACGCTGAAGGTGGGACACTGACACAAACCACACTCGCACCACGCGTGCCACACGCACCACACACACCACACCCACCACGCACGCCACACTCGCACCACACGTGCACCACACACGCACCACACTCGCGCCACGCAAACACACACCAAGTACACGGCATACTCGCATCACACTCATGCCACACCCACCACACACCCTCCACACTCAAACCACGTATGCCACACACACCACCACACCCAGCATCTGCTGCTCACACTGCACACTCGCAAGGCGCACATCTACCATCACACGTGCCATACACCCACCACATGCACGCCACACTCGTGATACGCACACATCGCACTCACTACCTACACCAATACCCATGGGCAATGCACACCACACGCACCACACTCATGGCAATTAGACGCCACACTCGCTGCACACAGCAGACACAGACCGCATGCACACAACCTCTGCTGCACACCAATTGCACCGCGATTGCACCACTTTGTCACCCTATTATAAGCGCCTAGTGGCGATGTGTCAGCGGAGGTGTCAGGCCCTGCAGGAAGTGTGTCAGGTCCCGGTGTGAGTTTATGGTATTGGTGATGTCACTCCCTACTCAGAAGGACGCGGCTGCTGGGCTGGCCATGGAGGGAGACGAGGTGGGAGATGAGGAAGATGGGGATAACGAGGAGGATAATGAGGGCGTAGAGGAAGAGGAGGAAGAGGAGGTTGGGGAAGAAGAGGAGGAGGAGGGAGAGGAGGAGGAGGAGGAAGAAGAGGAGGAGGCGGCGACGGCGGCGGTGGCGGCGGCGGCGGCGGGGGAAGAGGCGGCGGTTGCTGCAGAGGAGGAGGAGGATGAAGAGGTGAAGAAGGAGGAGAGTGCCAAGGAGGAGCCAAGCAGCTCATGTGAGTCGGAGGAGCCTGACAAGGCCAAGGAGAAGAAGAGTAAAGGTGCGAAGCTCAGAGATGGTTGGTCGCCAGCGTGGAGACGTGGCGGGATTGGTGTGGGAATAGAGCCATGTGGTTAATACTTCAGTGTGCCCTCAACATACCCGGCTCATTCACGGGATGGGGTGCCCCGAAATATATCCGTTGTTTTCACTAAACACCATTATTTCCACGAAGACCAATTTGTGCCATTCACAGCTTGTAATGTTAACTATATTGCTTTTTACGTTATTGAAAAATCTATGAAAGGAAAAAAGACACCATTGGATACGTTGAAAACCGCAAAGTCAATTCTTGAACGTACATTCGAATGGTTCGGTCGTTAAGGAGTGCGCAGGGCTACACCGTGACGTTTCTGCGCAGTATCAAGACGCAGCTAAGAACAACAAGTCGGCATTGTTGTTGAGCTTGTGGGGGGGGGGGGGTGCGATTTGTCATGGGGGTTTATTTTAGGGGGCCACCAGAATCATCCGCTGTATGCGGGGGGCACCACTGTATACATCCATCCGCTCTCTGTATTTGGAGGACACTGTCAGAAAATCCACTCGTACTGCACTCCACATTTAAACCAGACCTCGAGGCCACATTGAATGGGAGCGACTTACAATTGCAACGATGTTGTGCACCACAACACAAAACAAAAACCCCTTTGATAATAAAATCGACGCTTTTCTGGAAGATGCTGTGTGAGTCTCGACCGCTGCTCCAGATAAGGTTTGAGTCCGAGTAATTTTCCCTCCTGAATTTCTACTGTGCGGTTAAAATGTATATTCGTCTGGTAGAATGTAACACTACCTTACGGTCGTTTATGTTGTATCTTTCCCTCCGCATCCTGTCCTCAACGTGCATCTCCTGTAAGGTGACGACATCAATGGTTATTTCCCATTAAGGTTCCAGTCAGGAAGTTGCATTGAGTTGCATTGTTTAGCTGATCCAATCAAAGACCTTGTCCAATTGGTTTCTGGACCTCAAGCGGGCCTTCTTTTTTTTTGGAAAGTTGGCTCTACTGATCATGTCCATATTCGATTTAATGAAATCCACTTTGCCCAGATGACGATGTTGTATTTAATGTGACGTGAAAACACGTAAGAGGTTGGTCACCGCAGGAAGGCTCCCACCCATTCCCATTTAGCTCCTAAACATGTTGCCAATTCACAAGAATATAAACCCATGGTCACGAGCAACTTCCACAAACGCGGTACACTTTGGGGTAATGCGTTAACTAAAGCCTTTTGTTTTAACTGCAATATTTGTATTCTTTGGGTTTTTCGGTAAAGCCACGTAGATAGAAAAATAATACAATTATCACGACGTTTGCAATATTTGACCTGCTGTACAAACAATTGGTCTTAGAACACTGACAAAATTTCTCAACTCGTCTTTAAAAAAAATGTATTCTTAAAAAAACGTTCTTTTTGTAATTCCCAAAGAAACACTCTACATACTTCCCTTCAAATTTCCCTGAGTGATTTCCTGCTCAAATGAGCATTGAAGTGATGCTCATTTCCCATTAACAGCCCCTAAGCTAGTGGTGGAAATCCATGTTCCTATGACAGGGTCTATCCCCAGGACAACCAATGTTGCCTTTCTCACGGGGGGGGGGGGGGGGGGGTACCTTTTTTTATTGACCCTAGAGAGATGATGGGCTGAGTCAATCCCCAAACAGGGTCGTAACCTTCCGATTGCGAGCCGCTCGCTCTACCGCCGAGCCTCCTGGCCGGATACTGGACCTTATTGATACACATTGCTGATCGCCGCCCCCCCCCCCACCATGTACCCAGTGGCCCATGTGACTGCTACTTTGTCATGCAAACTCAAGCCGTGCAGCTAAATTGTTATGCGTATTACTATCCGTATTACTACGCATTACTTGAAAACATCATGAATAATTAATCCGTTTAAATGCATGAAACGTCCAGTACGCAGCTCATCTGGAGTGCTGCCCTCAACATTTTTTATGGGAGATGGCAGCACCTGTGCAGGGAGCGCGAGACACATATGTCCGTCCATCTGTGTCCCTATCCTGCCAGTGTCCGGGAAGCCGCCCTCTGAACCCGCGTCCCCAACTCCGTCCACCTGTCCTTCCCCGACGCTGACTGCTGGCAAGGTCATGTCTCCCTCGCAGCAGCACAGCAAGCGGGCCGTCAAGCAGGTAACCCCAGCCAGCATCTATTCTGGGCCCAGGGGGAGGGTTGAGTCAGTGGCAGTGTGTGCGTAGTATGGGCACCGGTACAAGGAATTAAATGGGAGGCCGGCCATGTGTTCTATCACTAACCCCATGTGTTCTATCACTAAAAACTCGTAGAAGTGACATTTACATTTTTTATGTTTTAAGGCATTTCTGATAACAAATGTGACAGTTTTTAATTCATACATGTCAAGCCTTTAAGGTTGATGCTGCTGTGTGAGATGGGGTCATGGAGCTGTGTTGCGACACAGGTAGACCTGGTGAGAGATGCGGGGTGAGCAAGACAGGGTGAGTGATATGTGGTGAGGTAAGACGGGGTGAGGTCGAGGGGGTATGGTGTCACGTACTCCCGTGTTTCCAGGCCCTGAAGCAGCAACAGCAGCAGAGGAAGCGTCGCTCGGGTCTCCCAGTGTCGCCCGGGAAACCCATCCCACGGATCATCCTCAAGCCGCTCAAGGGACCCGGGCAGCAGAGCCAGGCTCCCGCCGGTACCGCACACTCCACGCACCCAACACTCGCCCGCATTCACCACACTCGTTCACACACGCACCACCTCTACCATACGCTACGCACACCACACTCGCTCGCAAAACACACACACACACCACGCTCGCATCCACCACACGCACGGCACTCGCATACTTCCACACAGACCACACTTGCTCAGATGCACCACCTGTACCATATAAAACAAACAAAAAAGATCCCCCGTATACCCAGACCAGACTGTTGGGGCAAGTGCTGTTGGCGAGCACCTATGAAGGCTGGCACGGCACACGAGGGGGTGGATGGCCAGCACCACGACCACCTATGTCTCCCCATATACCACGCTGTCTCACATACGCCACAAACACGCCAAACATACCACACTCACATACGGTACCTCTACAGGACAGCACCTCTACCAATACACCACCTCTACCAAACCATTCACCCTCTTTTAGCTCGGAGGGAGATTCATTGGCCCGAGTTTATCTTTAGTGCATACACACAACTCGGTCCCTTGCCGATCAAAAGTATTTATTCAGGATCACATCCCTAAATTTTAGACACGTGGTTCTCACTCATTCTCTGTTAATGCCCCGAACTGGAATCTCATTGCTTCAAAAAGTCCTTTGTTACTCCCCCATATAAAGTACAATGATGCCCAGCTGTCGATTCTTTGATAACTTCACTTGGACTTGACATATCCTTGTCTGTTTATATATTTGTACAACATTTGCCTGATTACTGTTTAGTGTTTAGCACGGTTGGCTACGTACGGTGCGAAAGAAGTTCTACATACATAACTTAAATGTAGTTCTGCTAAGATCAGTCAGACAAATATCTAAACTGAATTCTACTACAGGGAATGTATTTTTGTACAATCATTTCCAATTATCACTGTTTGCTTCATTGCTGTACTTGAATTTAATTTGCTTTTGTAATTTTGGCGACGTAGGTCCCTCTTGCAATAATCCTAGTCTCTTGAGTTCTCACCCGCTTAAACAAAATCAACTTAACTTGAACCACAAACAGCGCAACCTCCTCTCCGTGTCACCTCCCCACGTCACCTCCTCCCCCGTGTCACCTCCCCGTGTGTAGCGTACGAGGTGAAGCAGACGGACGGGACGCTGGGGGCAGCGCGTGCCGACGGGGAGAGCACGGCCGCCGAGGATGAGGAGGAAGAAGAGGAAGAGGAGGAGGAGGAAGAGGTGCCAGGACCCGAGAATAAAGAGCCGCCCACCCCAGCCGTGGCTCGCCTCACGCGCAAACCACGTCAGAGAACGCGGCGGCTCAGCTCCGGTACGAACCCCTCGTGCCCGTGCGCAAACACCGTTACCACCCAACGTGGGTGGGTGTGTGTGCTTGTGCGTACATGTTTTGTGTTTGTGTCTGTGCGTGGTTATGCGTAGATTTATTTGCCTTGCCAGCCAAGGCGATGACGTCATTACGCGTGACGTTATCTAGCGTCGTCATACAGCATACGCTCCTCGCCTGCCGATGACGTAATTACGCGTGACATCATCTCAAGCGGCTTTGAACCCAAAAGTTATTGTCACTCACAAGTACTCCGGAGGCCGAGCGCGTGTTGGCGAGCATCGCGGCGCGCGTGCGCGTGCATTAATTATTCCTGCCTCGTTGCTCTGCACGAGCAGGGCAGCTGCGGCGGGCGCGCGAGGGCGACATCGACGTGGAGACACCCGACTCGATCCTCGTCAACACCAACCTGCGCGCACTCGTCAACAAGCACACGTTCTGCGCGCTGCCCATGCACGCCCAGCACCGTCTGCTGGCGCTGCTGCCCGAGGTCGACCGCCAGGTGCGCACGCTGCCCCTCCCCCACTCTCCTCCCCCTACCCCCACCCTCCCTCCTCTCTGGCTGCACCGCTGCCTCCACGGTTGCCAACGCGGGCGGTGCAGGGTCAAGGGTCGGTTTTTGCGGGCGACGGGTCGGGTCCACCTGACACAAGCATCTGGCTGTTTTTTTTATTTGATATAAATCATGGTTGCGGAACAGGCCCAAGTGCTGCTCCAATTCCCGCTTACAATTCACAGTAGGGCGTCAGTGAGGGACGCAGGCAAGGCCGATGAGTCGGATGCCTACCGTGACCTTTCCCTGGTGCTGGTTAAGGTGGCCCCTTGAGGCGGAATCCTCTTATTCGGTGACTTAAGCGCCTGAGTGGATCATAACGCAAGCGCTTACTCTGTGGAGTGTTATCCGAACACTGACCATGAGCTTGTCACCCACAAACCACTGCACGGGTGGGCATCCACCTAGAACCCCTTCCAAACCGATTGTAGCCTGGACTCGGCTAGCTACTTTGCAGCTACACACAGAGTAGATCTACAACGTGAAATAGCCGAGTAATATAATGAGAAGACTTCCCAGTGTGGGTGAGCGTGTGACTCGAGTGAGTCAGTGAGTGGTGGATCATCTCTATCAAATACAACGAGGTAGGAACTGGGCGCTGCATTCCAGATATGACAGCAGCATTCCTACTTGAGCCAAATGTGTGCTTTGTTGTAGCAGTAATGTTGGCCTATCTACAATGGCCTAATGATCAAGACACCTGGAATGCGCCAAATCTCGTCGGATCCTTCGAAAGCTCTCAGGGTTCAACGTGGATAGTGGCGGTTCTGTGGATGCCCGCCATGCCCAGCGTGTTGTTGAACGCGTGTTGACTTCTCTGCCGTGCAGGTGTGTGCGGACGGGCTGGCGCGGCTCAGCGGGACGGCGCTCAACAATGAGTTCTTCACGCTCGCCGCGCAGGAGTGGAAGGAGAGGCTCGCAGAGGGTACAGCACGCGCACGCACCGTCACGCTCACACACTCGCGCACGCGGTCGCATGTACTCGGAACACTTGTGTATATACAAAGACAAGGATCTCCCCCCCCCCCTCCCGACTCGTCTAACCTACGTAGACTATTTTTTGGCAAGTGATGTTAGCGAGCACCTATAAAGGTGGGCAAGGCACACGAGGGGGTGGGTGGCCGACGCCACGCCCGACCACCTTTGTCTCCCCAGGACCGGTTCAGATAATCGTCACTGGTGTTCGCTGTGAGCAGGAATCGACCTTGGGTCGCCGGCTTCGTAGCGCACGACTGCTCCCCACAATAGACACACAATACATACTCGCGTGCCCCTCTACACACACACACACACACGCGCGTGTGGGTTCATCTGAGTTGACCCGGTTGTTGCTGTTGCTGGTGTCCCTTGCTTAGGGGAGTTTACGCCGGAGATGCAGCTTCGGATCCGGCAGGAGCAGGAGAAGGAGAAGCGCATGGAGCAGTGGAAGGAGCGATTCTTCGAGCAACACTATGGCCAGAGGTCACTCACTCTGCCTCTGCCAACCGCCACACCACATGCCACCATCTGCCTCCCATGACCCCGCCGGCCTCGCTCCCCAACTCCTCTTCCTACCCGCAGACGAGACCACATCACCCCGTCACTCCGATCCCTTCCCCGAGCTCCCAATTGAGTCCCGGATCAAATTCAATTTCGCACTCGCTGCCTTCCAAATCCTCCATGGACTCGCCTCTGCGTACCTCTCCCCTCTCATCTCACTCTACTCCCCTCCATGCACTCTCCTACCTCTCCCCTCTCATCTCACTCTACTCCCTATCCACGCACTCTCCTACCTCTCCCGTTTCATCTCACTCTACTCCCCTCCACGCACTCTCCTACCTCTCCCCTCTCATCTCACTCTACTCCCCTCCATACACTCTCCTACCTCTCCCCTCTCATCTTACTCTACTCCCCTCCACGCACTCTCCTGCCTCTCCCCTCTCATCTCACTCTACTCCCTCCATCCACGCACTCTCCTACCTCTCCCCTCTCATCTCACTCTACTCCCCTCCACGCACTCTCCTACCTCTCCCCTCTCATCTTACTCTACTCCCCTCCACGCACTCTCCTGCCTCTCCCCTCTTATCTCACTCTACTCCCCTCCACGCACTCTCCTACCTCTCCCCTCTCATCTCACTCTACTCCCCTCCACGCACTCTCCTACCTCTCCCCTCTCATCTTACTCTACTCCCCTCCACGCACTCTCCTGCCTCTCCCCTCTTATCTCACTCTACTCCCCTCCACGCACTCTCCTACCTCTCCCCTCTCATCTCAATCTTCTCCCCTCCACACACCCTCCCACCTCTCCCCTCTCATCTCACTCTACTTCCCTCCATGCACTGTCCCACCTCTCCCCTCTCATCTCACCGTACTCTGCTCCATGCACTCTCCTACCTCTCCCCTCCCATTCTACCTCCACCACACACTCATCTTTTGAATGCAGACTTGTTGAGGAGTGTGCGCTCGCCAACCGATTGCAGTTATCGACAATCGCCAGCTTGGTTGGTGCTGGACATTAACGGCGGCGTCCGGCCGGACATCTCCCGCAGGTCAAACCTGACGCTGGACGACCTGGACCAGCTGACCAAGCGCGAGGAGGACGAGGAGGAGGACGAGGAGGAGGAAGAGGAGGACTCGGGCGATAGCAGCGATGCCGCCTCGGCGGAGCGTAAGCAGGGGCTGGCGCCATCCTCTCCACCCCAGGCCCCCGCGGGGAGAGGCACCAGCCCCCGCCCGCCCCGCGAACCCTCACCACTGCCCGTCACGGAAGAGCTGCCCGGCACGGAGGAGAAGGAGGAGGAAGTTAAGGGAGCGGCAGCGGTGGTGGCGCCAGTGGTAGTGGTGGAGCCGGAGGAGCCGGAAGAGCCGGAGGAGGCTGTGGAGTTGGTGCAGGAGCCAGTGCCGGATAATCCTGTGCCGATGGAGGCGTCGAACCCTGATGCGGAGGACGCGGAGCCATCGGCAGAGGCTATGGAGTCATCGGCGGAGCCAGGGGACGAGGCCATGGAGTTGGAGCCGAGCGTCTCTGATGATGCCCTGAGGACTGCAGATACCAGCCTCGCGTCCCGCAATGACGAGCCCTCCCCCACTGCTGCACCCGCTGCACCCGCTGCCTCCGCTGTCCCTGCTGCACCCGCTGCCTCCGCTGCACCCGCTGCACCCGCTGCCCCTGCTGCATCCGCTGCACCCGCTACACCCGCTGCCCCTGCTGCCCCCAATACCCCTCCCGCCGTCGCTCCTAAGGCGAAGGCGTCCCCTTCTCCTACCGAGCCTGCGCCCAGCTTCTCTACGTGCCGGACCAGGGAGCGAACCCGGACGCTGCTGCTCTGCCGGCAGCAGGAGGAGGGTGCGCATGGCGGCGGCGGGGGGGGCGGCGGCGGCGGCCCCGACTTGGCCGCCCCCCTCCAGTACACGGTGGTGGTGTCTACCGCCAGGTCGCCCCCCGCCCACGCGCGGGCGGCGCCACTGGGCCGGGAGGAGCGGCGCGGGTCGGTGTGCGAGGGCGGCAGGCGGAGGGGCAGCGAGGGCGGCGTGGGGCACAGCCCCGAGAGGAAGCGCGCCCGCGTGGAGGAGCGGGAGGGCCCCACCGAGACGCTCAGGGTGCCGCCCATCAAGGTGCGCACCGGGGCACTCCGGCATGCCACGGCGTGTTCCGCGCGGCGCCCGACTCCCAAGCTCTCCCTTGCGTCGGTGCCGTAGCGAGGGCAGGGTGGACGGGGCACACGTCCCAACGGCGATCTGAATTGCTGTAAACAAAAGCAACAGAGCGTGCAGTTGGGGACGGCTGGTGGCTCGAATTTTTGGCGTGGCCGTGCCAATGTCACAGCCCCGGTGGGGAGATGGGGTGTGAGGATGGCGCAACAGGCGCCGAAATGTGTGTCTATGGCTCGGCCCTGCACCATTAAATTATTCACACTTATCTCTTGCCTCAGAGCTAATCGCTCAGAATGCGCCCTATCTCGTCAAAATCGCAAGCTAAGCAGGTTTGAGTCTGGGTTTGTTTAACTGTGAGATTAATGGTGGGCAGCAGAGTGCAGCACAGCAACTTCTTCTGTTGCGCTGTACCCTGCTCCCACGTCTATACTCCACGCCTTTTGACCAGCGAGGTGAAGTATGGTCAAATAACCCCCACGTAAGGAGGCTCTAAACCAGCAGTGGATTGACAAAGGGCTGTAACATGTACATATGTGCTCGAGAATGCTATTCAGTGATGTCAATCTAGGGTTAGGGTATTGGATTCCTCAACAGTGTGGAGAACAGAATGTGGGCAAGGCCACAGGGTGGTGTGTATCTTGTGTTCTGAGCAGGCTTAGGTGGCTTGAACTACAGGCCTTGGACCACGCATCAAGTAGCACCGCCCACCCTCCACAGAGCACTCGCCCCTCACGCGCGACTCGCGCTCACCACTCGCCATAACCACTCCATGCTTCTGTTCTGCCTCTGCCAGATCCAGCTGAAGCCTCCGCTGGTGATGGTGGTGCAGAGGACCACGCCCACGGTCACGCCGCCTCCGCAGACCGTGGGTCCCAGCGCCGCCAGCGGGGCGCCGTCCCCCTCGCCGTCACCGGCGGGGCACGGGGCACGCCCTGCGGGGCCCGCGCGCACCCTGGCCGACATCAAGGCCAAGGCGCAGCAGCTGAGGGCACGCAGGGAGGCGGCTTCGGCGGCCGGAGGGGGAGGAGGAGGCGGGGGAGGAGGAGATTCCACGGGGTCCGGCAAGGCCCGAACGTCCGCGCAGGCCAAGGCCCACACGCGTGCCAAGCTGAGGGCGCGGGCGCTGCCGGCGCACGCCACGGCGGTGCGGCCCAAGCTGCTGCTGGGAGACTGCGCCCGCAGCGCCGCACACGAGGGTGGCGCCGACACTCGGGTGGACGACGATCGGACGGCGGAGCGTCGCCCTCGGCCCGGCGAGGCGCTCCCCGTCGCCGGCCCCGCTTCAACGGAGGATGGCGCCGGCCCCGCGGCACACGCGGCCAGAACTCCATCGGGAGCCGCGGCGCCGGTCGAGGCGGAGGCGACGACGCCGGCCGTGCAGGTGGCGCCGCGAGAGGAAGGGAGCGGAGTGCTGGGTAGCGCCGGCACGACCGTGTCGGAGCCGCGCGCCGCGTGTTCCGCACCGTCGCCGCTCGCCACGGCGCAGTCGTCCGAAAGTGCCGCCGCCGTCGCAAGCCCCAAGGCCGCCGAGTCGGCGCTGGACCTGTCTCTAGCGAGAGTGGAAAAAGAGCCATCGCCGCAGCGGGGGGCGCCCGTCCCTGCCGATAAACCTGTGCCTTCCTCGCCGACCCCTCCGCACCGATCGGAACTGTCGGACGAGCGGGGCGACCGCCCCACGGCAACGGCGCCGCCGGCGCCACCCCCCACCACCCCCGACCGCGAGCCGTCGCCGCTCGGGTCGCCGTCGCGGCACCGGCGGACCGACGGCGTCGCCGACGACAGCCGGACCCCGATCGCCACGTCCGAGACGCCCGAGGAGGCCGGCAGCGCCGGCGTGGCCGACGCGGCGCCGAGCTCCCCGGGCGAGGATCCCACCGGGCTGGCGGTCGGCTCGAGGGCGTCGGCCGAGCAGAGCCCGGCGTCCTCGCGCTGCGCCACCTCCTCCATCCAGGCGAGCAACCCGCTGGTGACGCAGCTGCTGCAGGGCAGTCTGCCTCTCGAGGTGGTGCTGCCACAGCCCACGGCCGGCGGACAACTGCACATCACGCCCTTCCAGCCGCCGGCGTCCGGCGCCGACCTCGTGGCCGACAGGAGGCAGCGCCAGTCGCCCAAAGCGCTGACCTCCAGCTCGGCGAGCACCGACTCTCCCCCCGCCGAAGCCGCCAGCGGCCGACAGCCTCGCGGTGACGTCCCCGGCGTCGGTGACGTCCCCGGCGCTGGTGCCACCGCGCCCAACTTCACGCGAATCCGCTCGCCCCCCGGCACCCCGGATGGCGCGGCACCGCCGCCGCTCCGCCCTCGCTCGGTCGAGGTGCCAGGGGAGGAGGTGCAGGGCCGGGCCGGGGTGCTGCTGGCGCTGTCTCCTGGCGAGCAGGGCGCCGGCAGCGCCGTGAGCCCCGGCAGCCGGGTGGCGAGCTGGTTGCAGAGCCAGAACGGGTGCGGCGGTGGCGGTGGCCCCGGAACAACCAGGGGACCGGCGGGGGTGGGCCTGGGCCAGCAACTGATACGGCTGGGGTTGCCAGCGGCGACGGGCCCGCGTGGGGATGGCACCTGTGCCAGGCCCAACTCGAGGCCGAAGGCCCTCATGATGGGACTCAAGCGGTCGCCTCCGTCGGTGAAGCCCGCCGTGTCGGTGCACTACCTGCTCAACACGTCCACCTACGGCAAGAGCCCCGAGCGCAAGAAGGCGCCGGCGCCGCAGGAGAACGGGGAAGCCGGGTCCGGCGAGCAGGACGCATCTCACCACCCTCCCCATCACCAACCGCATCACCCACCTCATCACCCGCCCCACCACTTGCCCCATCATCATCACCTGTCCCATCACCAGCTGCAACAGACTCAGAATCATCACCAGAATCGGCAGCACATTCAGCCCTTCCAGAACCACCAGCATGGGCAGCATGGGCAGCAGCAGCAGCACAACCAGCATGCGGTCGCACAGCCTGCCATTAAGGTGGAGAGGAGCCCTTCCTCCTCCACTTCCTCCTCCGGCGAGCAGTCCGCGCCGGACCCTCGCCCCGAGTTGGCCAAGCGTCTTCCGATCAAGACGGAGCTGAGCGCTCGCGAGATCAACCAAGCGTTGGTGGCCATGCACCAGCGCTACCAGACGGAAACCGTGGTGAAGGTGGAGGGTGGCGGTGGTGGCGGCGGCAGCGTTGGCGACGGAGGTAAGGACGGCTGCCTGCCAGTTTCGATGGCGTCGGCGCAGCTCGTGAGCATCGTGACGAGCGTGCGGGATGGCCAGGGTGCCATGGAGCCGGGCCGGGCGGTGCGACTCACGTACCAGAGCCAGCAACAGCAGTTCAACGCCCATCAGCAACAGCACCAACAGCAGCAGCATCACCATCACCAGCAGCAGCAGCAGCGCGGGACGCAGGCCAGCAAGCACCCACAGCACTTTCCGTCGGATGGTTTGCCTCCGCACCACCATCACAACCACCCCCACCACCATCACCACCTTCACCACCAGGGAGTGAACTGCGGACAGCCAGGGGGTGCCGGCGGCGCCGTGCCCGGTTTCCCCGGCGTGGTGCTCAACCACAGCTGCGGCGGCGGCGGCAACCTCCTGTCCTTCAGCGCGTCGGTGACGGCCATCTCTGCGCCGCCCCATAACCCCGCGGGGTCCGCCGGGGGCCCGCTGACCCTCAATTCGGTGCCGCTGGGTAACCAGGTGTTTGGCGGGGAGGGGGGGCCAGGCGGGGGCTCCGAGCCGTGCCCGTGCCGGCTGAAGGCGCTGATCGTCTGCCAGGGCTGCGGCGCGTTCTGCCACGACGATTGCATCGGGCCGTCGAAGCTGTGCGTTGCCTGCCTCATGGTCAGATGACACGCGCTGCGCTCGCCTCCCGCGAGCCCCCCCGGCCCCCCCGGCACGTTTCTTTTCTAAGCCCCCCCCTCCCCCCCCTACCCCTCCCCCCGTCGTCGTTTTGTTCGTCCCGTCACTCTTGCCTCATGGACCCGAGCGGAGAAGAAGATAACTTATTTTTTACGTTTTCACTGCACATGGTTTTTAACATTGTATTTTTTAAGACACTATAATAATATCCAGCCTCGTAAGGTTATATAAAAAAATGTATAATAAATAATTACGGACTGGTAAAGCAGTGAGGAGATCAAAAAGATTAAACTATTTAAGCTTTAAGACAAAGCCTAACCTTTCCATGTCGTGCGAGCTGCGGAAATAAAGAGCTTAGTGTGAGACTCTCGCTGTGGCGCCGTGCGTGGATGGGACGGAGGAGGAGAAGCCACCAACCCAAGACGGGACGGACGTGGCCACAGCGCTACGCCCATGTTGGTCGTAGCACCAATTGCCCAGTAGGTGTCCCTGCTGCTACAGCTGATCAAAGGGTTCCTCGTGAGAAGCCTTTCTCGCCCCGAGGCCGCAAAGTCTTCATCGGTGTCCCCGTGTCTCCCCAACTGTGCCCGTGTCTCACCCAAGCCTTTCGTGTCTACCCCATTTGTTATGTATCTCCACCAGTGTCCCAGTGTGCCTGTATTTCAGTCCTACTCCATGTGTCTCCTTGAGTCCCCATGTCTCTCTCAGAGGCGCCGTGTCTCCCCCTGGGTCTCGGAGATCTCGTTTTGGTGATAAGCATCTACGACTAAGCGAGGCCCGACACGGGGCACATCGATACTCTGGAAACATTCATATAGCAGACACGAACACGTTCCATAATCATTACCATGCAGATGTGTCGACCTGCAGTACATACATGCTTGTGAAATACCATGTAAACCTACAACACACTCGTACGGCAGAAGTCACACGACCGCACACGCCACCCCTGTACGTACAACACACAAGCCAGGGGGGAGTGCTGGCGCAGCAGTTGGAGCACTGCGCCATGAACCTGATGGCCCAAGTTAGATTCCCGACCACGGCCAACTTCCAGTCACAAGTGAAACGCTCAATCTGCACTGGCAGCCCTGATGAAGGACTGTCCAACAACCCTACAGCCAACACGGCAGAGAGAGGTCACCAGCAGTGGATTGAAGAAGGTAATTGATGGTGTCATTGTAACGTGATCAGAGGTGAAGGTGCCAGTGTCACGTGCTCAGAGGTGATGGTGTCACGTGCTCAGAGGTGATGGTGTCACGTGATCAGAGGTGATGGTGTCACGTGATCAGAGGTGAAGGTGCCAGTGTCACGTGATCAGAGGTGATGGTGTCACGTGATCAGGGGTGATGGTGCCAGTGTCACGTGATCAGAGGTGATGGTGCCAGTGTCATGTGATCGCCAGGGGAGACGAAGGCGGCCGTGCGTGTTGCTGGCCACCCCCCCCATCCCCCTCGTGTGCCGTGCCGGCCGACATTGGTACTCCCCGAACAGCACTTGCCCCAACATTCTCGTTCAAGCTCTACGGGGGGGGGGCAGGGGGGGTGATTTTTCGCGACTGTCACCAACAAAGTGACGTAATGCGTCCGATCTGGGAAGCTCGGCAGAGTCGAGGCAGGATGTTGGTCACGTGGGTGTGCCAGCAGGCACGGGCAGGTTGCTGGGCGAGGCAGCGAGGTCACACCGCGTGCCCAATGCGGGGTGACCCTCATCCAGCAGTGGATTGGAAATGGCGACGTAGAAAGTGGTGAGCCGGTGGGGGTCAAGGGTCCGTTAGCTCCCCCCCACCTCACGCACCTCCCCCTCCCCTCCCACCTCGCCTCCACCCACCTCTGCTCGACCCCCCCCCCCCCTGGTCTCTCGTCCACCCCCCCCCCACCTTTCTTTCACCCCCCCCCTTCCCCCCCCACCGCCCCCGCGTCACGTCCCACCCGCCCGTACCGACGGCGATCCGGCGTGGAGAAGGGAGAGGGCTCAGCGAAGAGAAAAGGGGGAGGAGGAGAGGGGGACGAGGGGAGGGGCAGAGTGAGAGTGGGGGGGGAGCGAATGGTGGTGACGTCACCTCTAATAGGGAACGCGCAGGAGGAGGCGGCGGCGTGGGAGGGAGGGAGGGGAGGGGCGCGGGGGCTGTGGGGGTCTCGGGGATCACGCGGCAAGAAGCGGAGACCCCCCGCGCCATCCCCGATCCGGGGGTCGCGAGGAGCAGGGGGAGCAGGGAGCGTCCATCCCGGAACGGGGAGAGGAGGGAGAGAGCGGCAACGCGCACCCATCGCTCATCTCTCATTCACGTACGCGCCTCGCTCCGGATCCTGAATCAACGGCGTCTTCCTGGAGCCGGATCGTCTCAATGGAGCCAGGGCATCTTCCTGGAGCCAAATAATCTCCCTGGAGCCAGGGCATCTTCCTGGAGCCAGGGCATCTTCCTGGAGCCAGAGTATCTTCCTGGAGCCAGGGCATCTTCCTGGAGCCAGGGCATCTTCCTGGAGCTAGAGCATCTTCCTGAAGCCAGGGCATCTTCCTGGAGCCAGGGCATCTTCCTGGAGCCAGGACATCTTCCTGGAGCCAGGGCATCTTCCTGGAGCCAGGGCATCTTCCTGGAGCTAGAGCATCTTCCTGAAGCCAGGGCATCTTCCTGGAGCCAGGGCATCTTCCTGGAGCCAGGACATCTTCCTGGAGCTAGAGCATCTTCCTGAAGCCAGGGCATCTTCCTGGAGCCAGGGCATCTTCTCGGAGCCAGGGCATCTTCCTGGAGCCAGGACATCTTCCTGGAGCTAGAGTATCTTCCTGGAGCCAGGGCATCTTCCTGGAGCTAGAGTATCTTCCTGGAGCCAAATCATCTCCCTGGAGCCAGGGCATCTTTGCGAATCCCGGAACTGCCGTAGCTCCTGGAGCTTCTCGCTGGAGCCACCTTCCTTGTCCCCTCGCCATCCCAAGGGGTCCGCGATGCCGAAGGGGGAGCGGAGACCCCGGGCCCCCTGAGCCCCAGGGGTCCCACTCATCTCAGGAGAGACGCACAGGTACGGTGACACGGGGTAGATGAGAATCAGAATATTTATATATACTGGAGGAATCCGATGAGCTATAAAGCTCTTTCACACATGTCCAGTCGGGCATACCGGGGAGATGAAGGCGGTGCACGTGGGACGGCATAGGCTATTCGATTAAATCGGTAATCGATTACTCTACCGATGATTGTCGGTTCTGTTCCTCGGCGAATCGGATAGCTCGAACATTGTAGAGAGGGGGGGGAAACGTGTTTCCACGTGTGCCGCTGGACGGGAGGTGGTTGGCAGGCTTAATCGGTCATGTCCGGCAGGGCACGGGGGTTTCCCGCCTTCAGGATGTCGGGGCTGACGTCATTCCTAAGGAGGCCCCCAGAAATCCGCCCACAACAACGATGACTGACAGTCGCTGACTTACTGGACCATCATCAGACGTCCCAGCAGCGCACGTGGGCCAGGAGGGGTGGGGGGGGGGGTGCAAGTGCCATGGGCCCTCCCAGTTCACATGGGTCGTTTGGCCAACGTTGGTCCAGACATATACGTTGGGACTAAGGTTCCAAGCACATGCCGACGTTGACTCAACGTTGGGACTACGGTTCCAACCACATGCCAACGTTGGATCAACGTTGGGACTACGATTCCAACCACATGCCAACGTTGGTTCAACGTTGGCATTTGTACTGGGTTGGTGCAAGCAATTCAATGTTCTTCCCCCCCCCCACCACCTGCCCAAAGTTGCCTCCAATGGCCCGGTGCCCGGGGCCCATGCGGTGGCCCGTGGTCCCAGGGAGCAGTTGGGCCGCGTGCGCGCTGGACATCTGTGAGAAAAGAAGCGCTTGATAGCTTATCGGATTCCTCACGCAGCATAACAACAGATTCTGACAGCGACGCCGCTGCCTGTGGGCGGGTTCCGTGGAGGCGGCGGGGGAGCGGTGGTGTCGTGGGTCACGCGCTGCGCTACGAACCCGTTCCCGCTCACGGCCACCAACACCACCGGTGACGATGATCTGAACCGGTCCTGGGCCTCTCCTAGGTCGACCCGGCCTCAAACGAGTACCTGGTTGCGGTGTGTAGTATACATCGCCACGAGGGAGACAAAGGCGGTCGGGCGTGGTTGGCTGGCCACCCCCTCGTGTGCCGTGCCGGCCTTCACGCGTGCTCGCTAACAGCACTTGCCCCAACAGTGTGTTAAGGCTACACGGGGGATCTTTGGCTTTGGAGAAGGGAGAGTGCAGTACAGTACGTGCCATCATTGGCGTGTGATGGTTTGAATCGGCCCGGCCTCCCCTATGTCGAGGACTGCCTATTGCGCCGTGTCACCATTTTAACATTGATTGGGGGAGACAAAGGCGGCCGGGTGTGGCGGTGGCAACCCCACCTCCCTCGTGTGCTGGTCTGAATAGATCCTCGTAACAGCACTTGTCCCCGCGGTTTAGGTCGGCTACACAGGGGACCTTTGTCTAGATGTGTATAGGTGTGCGTGTTCCCGTGTGTTTTACAATACACCGGGTTTGTATTCCCACTGCGTGCCGTGGAACATTGCATTGTAAATCCGATTGGTGTTCTCAAGTCTCACCCTAACCCCAGCCCTAGTCACGACTCTCACCCTAAGACTCACCCTAAGTCTCACCCTAACCCCAGCCCTAGTCATGACTCTCACCCTAAGTCTCACCCTAACCCCAGCCCTAGTCACGACTCTCACCCTAAGACTCACCCTAACCCCAGCCCTAGTCACGACTCTCACCCTAAGTCTCACCCTAACCCCAGCCCTAGTCACGACTCTCACCCTAAGACTCACCCTAACCCCAGCCCTAGTCAAGACTCTCACCCTAAGTCTCAGCCTAACCCCAGCCCTAGTCAAGACTCTCACCCTAAGACTCACCCTAACCCCAGCCCTAGTCAAGACTCTCACCCTAAGTCTCACCCTAACCCCAGCCCTAGTCACGACTCTCACCCTAAGTCTCACCCTAACCCCAGCCCTAGTCACGACTCTCACCCTAAGACTCACCCTAACCCCAGCCCTAGTCACGACACTCACCCTAACCCCAGCTCTAGTCACGACTCGAGCCCTCACCCATAGCACACAGACAGAGGCCCGGGACCTCTCTGATCTCTCTCTCTATGTACTATAAGGGTCGTTGCCCTAAACGTCGCCTATTATATACTGTACATGTATTTTTATCTTCTAAGGCCACACACCGTATTGCTATTGACGAGTGTTGTGTTGAGTGTTTGTTGATGTTAATTGCGCTTCGTGCACCACTGCCAACGCAGAATCAGCGTCACCAAATGGTTTGTTCGGGTTTGTCAGATAGGGCTGAGGCTGGAGTAACGCAGCTGATGGCGGCCTTAGGCTGGACACTCGGGGTCTGAAGAACAGAAGCTTCCACAAGTCAATCTGAGTGTCGGTTGCTGGCAAGTTTGCTGCTGTAGTGGGACGGCACGTCGCGCTCGGGAGAGGTTGAAGTGGCAGAGGGACTTGCTGAGAGTAGAACGCTGTTAAACTGAACTATTAGTTTTGCCAGGTAAGGCCCACTGAGCTGTATACTGTAGATCTTTTTCAGAAGCGACCTGGACATGAATAATAGCCCAATGAAGTGGGTTATCATCACGTGGATGTTTTTAGCAGCCAAATACTCCAAACGCACTTTTCTAAATGTGGAGGGGAAAACCGGACGACCCGGAGGAAAATCCACGCGACCACGGAGAGAGAGATACATGCAAACTCAAATTATGTAGCAAGCGTCAGGGTTGGGATCGAACCGACGACCTCCTGCATACCAGGCGAGGGAGTTAACATCTCTTGGCCCCAGGGAGGTTGTGGTGGCATCGTCATCTCTTGGATTTGGCCCTGACGATGTCTTGAAGTTTATATTCAGCATAGTCCTCTGCATCATACCACTTGAAACACAATTGTCAGCATAGTACTCTGTGAATCATACCGCTTGAAACACAACTGTCAGCAGAGTCCTCTGTTAGCGAAGTCAAACGTCTCAGCGATCCCCCGCTGCTGCTGCTGCTCAAGTGAACGTCGAGGCATCGGTGTTCAGCTCCTGTTTACAGCCCTCAGCTGTGTGGTGAGCCATGGGTGGAAATGTCACATTACTATGGCCGGGGCGAATCTATCCATAGGACAACGAACGAGTTGGCTATTCCTAGAACAAAGTGGTATTCATGTTATCGACCCTGGAGGGACGATGGGCTGAATTGACCCCCAAACAGGATTTGGTGGTCAGTTTTGGATTGTGGTTGAGTTTGCGTTGTCGTTGCGTGGCTTCTGGATTGTGGTTGTGTGGATTGTGGTTGTGTGAGTGTGGGTTGTGGTTGTGAGTGTGGATTGTGGTTGTGAGTGTGGGTTGTGGTTGCGAGTGTGGGCTGTGGCTGCGAGTGTGGGTTGTGGTTGTGAGTGTAGGTTGTGGTTGTGAGTGTGGATTGTGGTTGTGAGTGTAGGTTGTGGTTGTGAGTGTGGATTGTGGTTGCGAGTGTGGGCTGTGGTTGTGAGTGTGGATTGTGGTTGTGAGTGTGGGTTGTGGTTGTGAGTGTGGGTTGTGGTTGCGAGTGTGGGCTGTGGTTGTGAGTGTGGATTGTGGTTGTGAGTGTAGGTTGTGGTTGTGAGTGTGGATTGTGGTTGCGAGTGTGGGCTGTGGCTGCGAGTGTGGGCTGTGGTTGTGAGTGTGGGTTGTGAGTTGTGGATTGAGTTGTGGTTGTTGTTGCTGTTGTTGCAGTGAGGTGGAGCGGAGCCAACCTCGGTCATCATGGCCGACCGAAGGCAGCTTTTCACCGAGATGCGTACGAGAGCTGAGGCGCATAGTACAGCACAACAGACCACCACGTGACACCACACATCACCACGTGACACCACCACACAGCACCACGTGACACCACCACACATCACCACGTGACACCACCACACATCACCACGTGACACCACCACACAGCACCACGTGACACCACCACACAGCACCACGTGACACCTTGTCACACAATGTAACACCACGTGGCACCGCTTGTGCTCTCCATCCTCAGGAGCCCAGAATTTCGACGCGATCCGCCTGTCCACGTACCGCGCCGCCTGCAAGCTGCGCTTCGTGCAGAAGAGGTGCAGCCGTGAGTGCAGCAACCGCCACCTCCTCCATCGTCACCTCAACGTTCCCACCTCGTCACCATCGGACCCCAATCAACACTGCCCCTCTATCACCACATCGCCACCATCAATGACCTATAAGAGGCCCACCACCACCACCCCACTCGTGGCGTGACCCCCACACGTTGCGTCTTGTCCCCCCGCCCGCCACGCCACCCGCAGTCCACCTGGTGGACACGTGGAGCCTGCTGGAGGTGTTCCGGGAGCAGGGCCTGGCGGGCCGCGCGGACGGCACGGTGACCACCGGAGCCATGGCCCCCTCCGGCAGCGGCGGCGGTGGCGTCGGCGACGGTGGCGTCGGCGGTGGCGGCAGCGTTGGCGTGGACATGTCGGTGGCCCAGCTGGAGCGGCTGGTGCTGTCCCTCTACGTGCAGCTCAACAAGAAGCTCTCCTCCCAGCAGCAGCTGTCGGCCGAGGCCTGCTCAGGCCTGCTGCTCTCCTTCCTGCTCGCCGCGATCGACAGGTCAGCCGGGGGGGGGGGGGGGTTGGGTGGGGGGTGGGGGAAGGGGAAGTGGAGGGTGGGGGAGGTGGAGGGTGGGGGATGGGGGAGGTGGAGGGTGGGGGGTGGGCGCCCCATCATCCAGTGGTTCCCACCCCCGTGACGGGTGTGCAGCGCGAGGGAGAGGTGTGCTTACGTGTGTGTGTGTACTTGTGCGTGCGTCTGTACGTGAGTGTGTGGTGTGTGCATTGTATGGGGAGCGGTAGTGTAGTGGTTAGCGCGCGGCGCTACGAATCCGGCAACCCGAGTTAGATTCTCACTCGTGGCCAACACGACTAGTCCTGGGACTCCCCTAGGTCGACTAAGCCTCAAATGAATACCTGGGTGCGGCATGTAAACATCGCCACTGGGGAGACAAAGGCGATCGGGCGTGGTGCTGGCCACCCACCCCTCGTGTGCCATGCCGGCCTTCATAGGTGCTCGCTAGCAGCACTTGCCCCAACAGTCTGTAAAGGGTATACGGGGGATCTTTGTCTTTTCTGTGTGTGGACACGCACGTGGCCCGCGCAGCGAGGGCCTGGAGAAGGTGACGACGTTTTCCGTGAAGGTCACCCTGGCCACGATGTGCGGAGGCAAGATCGTGGACAAGCTTCGATGTGAGTTCACACGACTCGGAGACCCTCTCCCGCTCGCATCCCCCCTTCGGAGGGGACACATCTCCCTCTGTGTCGCGCACCCCCCAACCCCCCCGTTTCGCCGCTGTGTCCCGTTTTCCGCAGATCTCTTCTCGGAGCTGTCCGACGGCTCGGGGGTGCTGATGTGGAGCCGCTTCGACCGCTTCCTGCAGGACGTGCTGGCGCTGCCCACCGCCGTGTTCGAGGGCCCGTCCTTCGGCTACAACGCGCAGACGGCGCGCGCCTGCTTCCCCAACCCCGTGCGTTGCCACCGCCATCGCCGCCGCCGCCGCCGGTTCACTCGGCTAGCCCACCGATCCTGGCTCCCCCCCACCCCGCCGTCTCCCACTCTGTGGCCTGCTTCCTTTGTCTCATTTGTCTCCCCCGCGTGTCTCCTTGCGTGTCTTCCCGTGTCTCACTGCGTGTCTCCTTGCGTGTCTTCTCGTGTCTCCCTGCGTTGCTCCCCGCGTGTCTCCCCGCGTGTCTCCCCGCGTGTCTTCCCGTGTCTCACTGCGTGTCTCCCTGCGTGTGTCCCCGCGTGTCTCCCCGTGTCTCTCCCCGTGTCTCACCGCGTGTCTCCCCGCGTGTCTCCCCGCGTGTCTCCCCGCGTGTCTCCTCGTGTCTCACCGCGTGTCTCCCCGTGTGTCTCCCCGCGTGTCTCCCCGCGTCTCACCGCGTGTCTCACCGCGTGTCTCCCCGCGTGTCTCCCCGCGTGTCTCCCTGCGTGTCTCCCGCGTGTCTCCCCGCCCGTACCCGCAGCAGCGCGTGACCCAGAGCATCTTCCTGGACGCCCTCATGTCGGAGCCGCCCCCCCAGTGCCTCGCGTGGCTCCCCCTCATACACCGCCTCTGCAGCGCCGAGAATGGTAACCCCCCCCCACCAAACCTTCATCTCCATATTGGGGGGCAGTAACGCCCCCCCCAAAACTCTCTCCAGCGCCAAGATAGGTACTGCAATCCCAAGCCGAGAACGTGGTGACGATGGTGGTGGTATGTCTCGTTTGGTGGTGGTGGTGATGGTGGCAGTGATAGTAGTGTGTGCTGTTTGGTAGTGGTGGTGGCAGTGCGTGCTGTTTGGTAGTGGTGGTGGCAGTGCGTGCCGTTTGGTGGTGGTGTAGTGGTGGTGGCAGTGCGTGCTATTTGGTGATGGTGTATTGTTTGGTAGTGGTGGTGGCAGTGTGTGCCGTTTGGTGGTGGTGTATTGTTTGGTAGTGGTGGTTGGTGGTAGTGCGTGTCCTTTGGTGGCGGTCATGTCGGCATTGAATTGTCGACGTTACGGATGTCGTCGCGGTCGATGTCACCGCTCGATTTTGTGGCCGTTGTCATTGACGCCACCGTCCACTCGGCGGTTGTTCGTGGCGCCGTGCGCGCGCGCAGTGTTCCACCCGGTGGAGTGCTCGTTCTGCCACAGCGAGAGCATGCTGGGCTTCCGCTACCGCTGCCAGCAGTGCCGCAGCTACCAGCTGTGCCAGGACTGCTTCTGGAGGGGCCAGGCGAGCAGCACCCACTCGAACCAGCACCAGATGAAGGAGTACACCTCGTGGGTACGCAGCAGCAGCAGCAGCGGCGGCGGCGGTGGCGGCGACGCTACCACCCCGCGCTCGCACCAGGCTAGGTGCAGCGCGTCGAGTGTGGAAGGCGGCTCACTTCTGGCGGGGGGGAAGGGGGGGGGGTTCTCGGGACAGACCCAGGTGCCCGTGGGTTGATTGACCCAAGATGGCTGGCAGATGCACCACCCGTGCACCCCACTGTGGCACCTCGCTCAGATTTAGCCGCCCGGTGCTCCGCTCGTTGCTGTGACACCACGAGTGCCAGTCACTGGCAAGGCCACTCGCCACAGAATCCTCCCGTACCAAAACATTCCACCGGTACGGCCATTGAAGGTTAAAAATAATGAACGCGTTCAATAGCGTGGGGCCAAGAGGACATCCCGTCTCAGCGCAAGGCAAACGGGGAATGGCTCTGACTCCAGGCCACTCGGCGTCATGAAGGTTCTTAACAATTGTGAGCAACGTTTCAGTTTCATGTCATTTATTTGGTAGAACCCTGTGAGCCATTCAGCTCTTGAATCGGGTGCAACCGCAACAAAAAAAAACATGAACAAGAAACATCTTAAAGTGACTACGCGCAAACATAAAAATCCAGGAAAAAACAGCATAGTCTTCCAGAAAAAGCACCGTATATCAATGCTGATAGAACAACACAAAGCCCTGGCCTCTCGCCTTGACCAGGATGATGGAGCACAGATGTGCATCTCGCCGTGTCTCTCTCTCTCTCGTGTCTGCAGAAATCCCCGGCTAAGAAGCTGGGAGCTGCCATCTCAAAGACGCTGGGCTGCGTGTCCGGCCGTGAGAATTCCCACGCCTTGTACCCAGAGTCTCCGGACAACGGCGCGGAGACCACGCACGTCGGGTGTGGCTGCACATCACAAAGATAAAGATCCCCCGTGTAGCCCTTAACAGGCTATTGGGGCAAGTGCTGTTAGCGAGTAGCACCTTTGAAGGCCGGCACGGCACACGCGGGGTGGGCGGACAGCACCACACCCGGTTGCCTTTGTCTCCGCAGTGACGTAGTTTACTACACGCCACAGCAGCTACTCATTTGAGGCCGAGTCGACCTAGGGGAGGCCCAGGACCGGTTCAGATAATTTAATTGTCACTGGGTGTTGGTGTCCGTGAGCGGAAATCGAAATCGGGGTCGCCGGGTTCGTAGCGGTAGTGTAGCGCTAACCGCTACACTACCGCTCCCCGTACACACACGTACACACACGTACAGACACGTACACACATGTACACACACGTACACACACGTACACACAGACACATACACTCGATCTTGTCTACAACTGGGTCCCACCCCCCTCTCCTTTCCGCAGCCTCCCCTGGTCCCACTCCAGTGCGATGGACGGAGTCGTCCCTTCCTCGAACCGCAGGTCAGTGGCGTCACGGTGGCTAGGAGATGTTAACTACCTCGCCTGGTATGCAGGAGGTCGCGGGTTGGATCCCAACCCTATTTGGAGTTCGCGTGTCTCTCCGCGTGGATTTTCTCCGGATCCTCCGGGTTTTCTTTCCACATTGAGTGGCCTGGAGTCGGAGTATTTGGCTGTTATACAATTCCACATGATAAGCTACTTCGTTCAGCTATCATTTGTGTCCAGGTTGCTTCAGAAAAAGAACTACATAGCTCAGCAGGTCTCACCTGGTAAAATATAAAATAGTTTAGTTTCCTCCCAGGGCCGTCCATTGGGGGGGTGCGGGGCCCGGGGCAACTCACACCGCGTGGGTCCCCCGCCGCCTTCAAACTAAACCGGGAGTGTTGCATCTGACAGTGACGTCGAAGTGCGGAGCCCCCCAGAGCGCAGGGCCCAGGGCAGTCGCCCACATTCACCGTGTTCCTTTGGGACGACTATGCTTCCTCCCTGTGCACACCCTCGTGTTTCTGTCCATCTGTCCGTTTCTCGGCGTGTCGTCTTTCTCTGACCGTGTCTCTCTCTTTGCCTGTCTTCTGTGTCTCCATCCATGTCTCTACCGTGTCCCCGCGCCTCTGTCCGTGTCCCCGTGCCTCACTCTCATCTGCGTCCCCAGCTCCGTGTTAATGGCCGAGAGCCCGGGCCGCTCTGATGACGAGCACCACCTCATCGCGCGGTACGCGGCACGGCTGGCAGCCGAGGACAACGTGAGGACAACCACGCGCAATCGCACACCACTGCACACCACACACCGCAACCACTGTGTTCTGTGGTGTGTGTACGGCATGCGCTGGGCACTGTGCGTAGTCTGTGCTGCTGTGCACATTGTACCAGAGTGTGCACTGTACGCACTGTGCACACTGCACACACAGTGGGGCCGCACATACTGTACACACTGTACGCGACACACACTGATCGAAGGCAGCAAGCACTGTACATTGTACACACCACACACTGTACACCACACACTGTGCACTGTGCACACCGCGCACTGTGAATATTGCACCACATGCACTGTACACACTGTACGCACTGTGCACACTGTACACACTGTGCACACTGTACACACTGTGCTCACTGTACGCACTGTGCACACACTGTGCACACACTGTGCTCACTGTACACACTGTACACTGTACGCACTGTGCACACTGTACACACTGTGCACACACTGTTCTCACTGTACACACTGTATACACACTGTGCTCACTGTACGTACTGTCTACGCAGAGGGCTCTGGCTGCGGGGGAGATCTCTCCGCTCTCGATGGACGTCAACAAACATCAGCGGCAGCTCATCGCCGAGTTGGAGAGTCGCAATCGGTGAGCGAGCGGCGGGACACGGGCTTCGCTGTCGCTGGTGGTTGTGATGTTGGTGACAGTGATGTTGTTGATGGTGTTGATGTTCGAGAGGATGTTGATGTTATTGCTGTTGTTAAGGTTGGTGGTGATGTTGACGATGTTCCTGATGCTAGCGATGATCTTGATGTTCGGTTGACGTTATCGATGTCGATGATGTTGATCGCGCCGTTGATGTTGCCAAAGTTGATGTTGTCAATGTTGATGTTTCCAATGATCGTGCCATCGATGTTGTTGATGATGTCGATGATGTCGATGATCGTGCCATCGATGTTGATGATGTCGATGATGATGTTAATGATCGTGCCATCGATGTTGATGATGTCGATGATGTCGATGATCGTGCCATCGATGTTGATGATGTCGATGATGATGTTAATGATCGTGCCATCGATGTTGATGATGTCGATGATGTCGATAATCGTGCCATCGATGTCGATGATGTCGATGATGTCGATGATCGTGCCGTCGATGATCGTGCCATCGATGTTGATGATGTCGATGATGTTGATGATCGCGTCGTCAATGTTGTCGATGTTGATGATGTTAATGATCGCACCGTCGATGTTGATGATGTCGATGATCGTGCCATCGATGTTGTCAATGATGTTGTCAATGATGTTGATGATGTCGATGATCGTGCCATCGATGTTGTCGATGACGTCCATGATCGTGCCGCCGATGTTACCGATGCTGGCGACGACGGCGTTGACGTGGGCGAACGGCGTTGCCCGTGGGTGGCGCAGGGAGATCCTGCAGGAGATCCAGCGCCTGCGTGTGGAGCACGAGCGGGCGTCGCGGGCGCCGGCGGCGCCGCCCGACCGCGACCACCACAGCCCGGCCCTGCTCACCGAGCTGCGCCTGCTCAGGTGGGGGCCCCTCTTCCTCGCCGCGCCCCCCTCGCACCTCGCCTCGTCGCACCTCTTCACAGCTCATCATCATCTGTCATCACGCCGTAACAGTCACGTCTTTAACCGCACCGTGTGTACCCTGTGTGTGTACCGTGTGTGTGTACTACGTGTCACGTGGTGTGTACTACGTGTACTGTGCCGTGTGTGCTGTGCCGTGTATGCCCTGTGTATACCGTGGTGTGTGTACTACGTGTCACGTGGTGTGTGTACTGCACTCACCGTTCTGCAGGCAGCGCAAGGAGGAGTTGGAGCGCCGCATGTCGGCGCTGCAGGAGAACCGCCGTGAGCTCGTGCAGCAGCTCGACAGCCTCATGAAGCTTCTCAAGGTGACGGACACCACCACCACCACCTGCACCACCACCACCTGCACCTGCACCTGCACCAACACCACCACCAACACCACCACCTGCACCACCACCACCTGCATCACCACCACCTGCACCACCACCACCACCACCTGCACCACCTGCACCACCTGCACCACCACCACCTGCACCACCACCACCACCACCTGCACCACCACCACCTGCACCACCACCACCACCTGCACCACCACCACCTGCACCAACGAAAGACAAAGATCTTCCCGTGGAGCCTAAACAGATTGTTGGGGCAAGTGCTGTTAGCGAGCACCTATGAAGGCCGGCACGGCACACGAGGGGGTGGGGTGGTCAGCACCAGGCACGGCAGCCTTTGTCTCCATAGTGGTGATGTTTACACACCGCAGCAAGGTACTCATTTGAGACTGAGCCGACCTAGGAGAGACCCAGGACCGGTTCAGATAATCGTCACTGGTGTTGGCCGTAAACAGGAATCGAACTCAGGTCGCCGGGTTCATAGCGCAGCGCTCTAACCACTACACCACCACTCCCCTTGCACCACCACCAGTGCCACCACCACCAGTGCCACCACCAGCACCAACACCAGCACCAACACCACCACCAGCGCCACCACCACCTGCACCACCACCAACACCACCACCAACACCATCATCAACATCACCGTAGCACCTTGATACGATGCAGTGCGGTTCTGTGTGGCGTGGTTCGGTTTTGCGTGGTGCATTGTGGTGCTGTGTGTGGCGTGGTTCCGCGTGGTTCTGTGTGGCGATGTGTGGTGTGGTGCATTGTGGTTCTGTGTGACGATGTGTGGTGCGGTGTGGTTCTTCGCGGTGCGGTGCGCAGACCCAGGGGTCGGGGTCCCCGCGCTCGTCCCCCGGCCACACTGCGAGCCGGCCGATCCCCACGCCGATCCGCACCCCCTCGTGCGGCTCCTCGCCGGCCCACACCCCCCAGGAGCCCCCCCCCAGCCCCGGGGGGGACCCACACACCCCACCCTTCTCGCAGGGTGAGCAACTACAAAGACAAACATCCCCCCTTTATTGCAATATCTATCTACAGGAATCCGATGAGCTATAAAGCTCTTGTTCAAATGCCCAGTTGCCTCAACGAACTGTTGGGGCAAGTGCTGTTAGCGAGTAGCACCTATGAAGTCAAAGCCAAAGATCCCCCCTATAGCCTCAACACTGTCGGGGCAAGTGCTTTTCCGAGTCGCACCTATGAAGTCAAAGCCAAAGATCTCCCCTATAGCCTCAATACTGTCGGGGCAAGTGCTGTTTCCAAGTAGCACCGATGAAGGTCGGCACGGTACACGAGGGAGTGGGTGGCCAGCACCACGCCCGGCCGCCTTTGTCTTCCCAGTGGCGATGTTTATGGTCCAGACCAGGTACTCATTTGAGGCTGAGTCGACCTAGGGGAGGCCCGGGACCGATTCACATATTCGTCACTGGTGTTGAACGTGAGCAGGAATCGAACCCGGGTTGCCAGGTTCATAGTGCAGCGTAGCGCTAACCGCTACACTCCCCACTGGGTGACCATTCAGAGTCTCACACAGATAGAGCATCACTCGCCTCCCAAGACATCACTACCTGCAGCCATATTGCTGAAGGATTATGTTGATGATGGCGGTGACGATGGTGGTGTCGATGATGGTGACGATGGTGATGATGGCGACGATGGTGATGATGGCGGTAACGATGGCGGTGTCGATGGTGGTGACGATGGTGGTGACGATGGCGGTGACGATGGCGGTGACGATGGCGGTGACGATGGCGGTGACGATGGCGGTGTCGATGGCGGTGTCGATGGTGGTGTCGATGATGGTGATGATGGCGGTGACGATGGCGGTGATGATGGCGGTGACGATGATGGTGATGATAATGATGTTGACGATGTTGCCAGGGTTCCGGAGGAATCTCTGTAACGATCTCCTCGTGGCGGCCGACTCCATCGCGAGCACGATGACGTCACTCGTGCGGGAGCTTGACTCGGGTAACCCGCACACACGTGTCACTCGCGTGACACTTGCCTCTCCCACATGCCTCCCACACGCCATTGATGTTATTGTTGTTGATGATGTTATTGTTGTTGTTGTCATTGATGTTATTGTTGATGTTGATGAAGTCTTTGTTGATGTAGTTGGATGTCATTGTTGTTGTCGCAGACATCAGTGGAGACGAGGATGATGGCGGGTTCTTCCCGGCGGCGCGAGATCGAGGTGAGCAGCTGACATCGGGGGACTGGCGGGGGGGGGTGCCTGCCCTCCTTACGCCCTCTCCAGGTTTATGTCTCACCCCAGCGTGAGCCTCGTTAAGAGCACAGCCCCCCTGCTTCTTCCTCTCTGTCCTGCCCCCCCCCCCCCACGTCTCCCTTGCCCCCCAGATCCCATCAGAAGGCAGAGTGGGGGGGGCCGGCGCGAGTGGGAGCCCCCCCCCCACGGGCTGCCATCGCCCCCCTCCCCCGACCTCATCATCCTGGCGCCGTCGAGCGCTCGGCGTCATCTGGGGGGGTCCGGAGCCCCCCACTGGTACGGGACACAGACACCTGCACGCACACGTGTGGGTGTGTACACGTGTGGGCGTGTACACGTGTGGGCGTGTACACGTGTATGTATCCGTGTGTGTGCGCGTATAGCGTAGCGGTTAGCGCTATGAACCCGGCGACCCGGGTTCAATTCCCGCTCACGGCCAACACCAGTGACGATTTTCTGAAGCGGTCCTGGGCCTCCCAGAGGTCGACTCAGCCTCAAATGAGTACCTGCTGCGGTGTGTAAACATCACCACTGGGGAGACAAAGGCGGTCGGGCGTGGTGTTGGCCACCCACCCCTTCGTGTGCTACTCGCCAACAGCACTTGCCCCAACAGTCTGTTAAGGCTACACGGGGGATCTGTGTCCTTGTTTGCGTGCGTGTGGGCAGCGTGCAGGACGAGGGGTTGGCGGCGCCGTCGCCGCGCGGGGCGGGCGAGGGCTGTGCCGGGGGGGAGCCCCTCAAGCATCGGGTCCCTCCGGCCAACTCGCCACTCCCCCTCGCACACGCGGTGAGCCACCTCCGCCGACGATGCCCTGCGGTGTCCTGTCTCCCGTCTCCTCCCGTCTCCGTCCCGTCTCCTTCTCCCCGTGTAATGTCTCGACGAATGGGTTTTCTCCGGGGTGATGTGGAGTGACTGCTAAACGATAGCGAGCGATGGATGCCGAGCGATGGATGCCGAGCGATGGCGAGCGATGGCGAGCGACATCACTGTGGAGTGACCGTGACCCTGCTGACCCTGCCCCTGTTGGCCGCGCAGCTCGAGAGCTCCTCTGGGCAAGACGAGGATCTGGCGTCGGGGAGCAGCGCCGGCCAGCACAACAACAGCGGCGGCGGCGGCGGTGGCGGTGGAGGAAGTGGTGATGAGGGGGGGCGGGTGAGGAGGAGCCTGGTTCAGTAACAGCGCCACGATCGACCGAGACGGCACGGACGGGTGGAGCGGGGCCATGGGGTCGTATGGTCGTGGGTGGAGCGGGGTCGTGGGGTTGTAAGGTCGTGGGTGGAGCGGGGTCGTGGGTCCGTGGGTGGAGCGGGGTCATAAGGTCTTGGGTGCAGCGGGATTGTGGGTGAAGTGGAGTTATAGGGTCGCCGGGGTTATAGGTGGAGCAGGATCGTGGGTTCATGGGCAGAATGGGGGCGTGAGGTCGTGAACGGAGCGGGGTTGTGGGTAGAGCAGGGTTCGGGGACGGAGGGAGGAGTCGGGAGCGGAGCGGGGACGCGAGGTCGGGGGTGGAGCAAGCGTCGGCATCGATCCCAGGACCAGCACAGCTGCGAGCGCAGCGAGGGGAGGCGGTGGTGGAGGCGGTGGTGGAGGCGGTGGTGGAGCCGGTGAAGTCTCCACGGCGCCGCCCTGGAGCTGCTCGGAGCGCTTGGGGCTGCGGGGAACCCGTGGATGTCCATAATGTACATAGCCGGCGGCGTGACGACTTAGAGATTCCTATCACTCGGGGCTGTTGTAAAGGTTTACATATGCACATACGTGTGTGTGTGTGAGAGAGGGGTGGGTGTGTGTGTGTGGGAGGGGGGAGCGGTGGTGCAGCGGTTAGCGGGCTGCGTTACGAACCCGGCGGCCCGGGGTTCGATTCCCGTTCACGGCCAACACCAGTGACGATTATCTGAACCGGTCCTAGGCCTCCCCTAGGTCGACTCATCCTCAACGTAGTACCCCGGTGTGTCAGCTTCAGCACTGGGGAGACAAAGGCGGCCAGGAGTGGTGCTGGCTGCGCCCACCCCCTTGCATGCTGTGTGGGCCTTCATAGGTGTTCGCTGACATCACCTGCCCCAACAGCACCTGCGTAGACCACACAGGGGGTGTTCGTTTGTGTTGTGAGGAGTGCCGTTACCGACTGAGTGTGTCCGCGTATAGTCAGTCCCACGCTGTCTTTCTTTGCTGCCAGTTCTTTTACATTTTCTCCTTTTCCGTACCACTGCCATGGCAGCTGTTGTTCGCGGCTGTCGCTCACTGGCGAGCGGTCAGCACGAATTGTGGGATGAGTTATCCGGTGGTCTTGATGGAAAAGAACTCGCACAGTCAACTCTCGACTATCCGGGGCGATGGGGTCGGGGTAGGGCTTGCCAGGATAAACATCGAGCAGCCAGCAACAAATAGTACTCTCAGAGTTGTGATGGATGTGAGAGAGAGAGAGAGAGTGTAACCACGGCGCTGGTCTGAGCAAGGTTGTTATGATAAGAGCTTGCGAGGGATGAAGCAGAAAGTGTGGCGAGTCAGTGAGTGGATGAGTAGGTGGACGAGTGATTGGCCGAGTGACTGAATAAGTGGTTTTATGAGTGAGTGAGTGGGTTAGTGAGTAGGTAACTTGTGGTGAACATGCAAACAAAAAAAACATGCTCTGGTAGTCTATGATGGTGCATTGTCTTTGAAACTGATTGGTCCACACCAGAGACAGCTTTCTTTAGAGCCTCGTCTCACTGTTAGACCAGAGGACGCCAAAAGGCAAACAGTGTGGACCAATCAGTTTGAAAGACAATGCATCATCATACACTACCAGAGCAAGTTTTTTTGTTTGCATGCTCACCACAAGTACGTGTGGTTAATGCAGACAGGATTCCTTGCAGAAGGTTTCTGTTTGGGTTTTTAACATTTTAACACAACTGTCTTCCATAATATAGGGGTTTTTTGGGGTTAGATCACCTGAGGAAGCTAGTTGTAATTACTGGCGAAACGTCGTACTCAGATTGTAAATGTTGTGGCTTGGCTCTCCAACACACCGGTGTGCTGTACTAGTGACGAATTGGCATGTTCTGTTTACGTGACAACCCTTACTAGTTGGCTGTGTTGGGTGGTGGTGGGTTTTAACGGCACATTTTTATAATTACACGATCTAACCCAAAAAAAAACCTCTTATGGATGATATTGGACGCAAAAGCCTACTACGTGTTAAACTCACAACAGTCTTATTGCCAGAAAGGGTAAAACCTATTCTTATATAAGCCGTATCGTTCCACCCACGTTTAAACGTGGGTGTGTGGGTGAGTGAGTCGATGTGTTGTTGTGACCTGCAGTGTGACGAGTGTGTGGGTGGGTGGATGAGTGAGTGGGCTTGTAGGTGGATGGGTGAGTGGGTGTGTTATTGTGAGCTGCAGTGCGGTGAGTGAGTGTGTGGGTAGGTGGATGAGCGAGTGAGTGTTGTTTTGACCTGTGGTTTGGATGAGACAAAACAGTTGGTAGCCCGAATCCTCAACAAGGAGTGAAGCTCACAGGGAACAGGAACCCTGGTAGTAGTAGCCGCAGCAATAGAAGAGTGATCAGGGGACGACAGACCACCGCTGATGAGTGAGCGAGTGAGCGGAGTGAATCCGTGAGCACTTGGATCATCAGTCACCCCGACTGCTACGTTCTGCCGGGTACCGAGTCGAGCAGCGGTGAGGCCGGAGCTCTGGGTGCTCCACCACAGATGTGGCAGCAGCAGGAGGCCAACTTGGGCCAGATTGGTGCTTGGCACACCGGCGGTGACGATTGCTCGGGAGTTCGATCACGTGGGCAGCGCATTCGGCCGCCCTCGACGAGCGAGGAGCAGCCCCGGTAACCGGAACCGCACTGGCCGCACGGCGCGCGGGGGAATCCTGATAATCGAGAGTTGACTCAGTATGTTTTTAAACTTGCCGATGCTGCTGCTTCGCTGACAGTGGTGCCACAAGCAGAGTCCAGGAACACGGCAAGACACTCAACACGCGTGTCAACAACAACACCCCGTGTGTGGGTGTGGCCTGAAAAGGAAAAGCATGTATCATGGGGGGAATTTTCAGCAATGGCCCTACTTGGTGGCACATTGATTTTGTGTGCTGTGAAGGAGGCCCATTGGCTGAAACGTTGCTTGTTATATATTCTTCTTCTAATGCCACACGCGGCGTGTTGTTTTTGACACTGAACCTGTCGAGACTTTTTTTTCTCCAAAAAAATACTTCCATTTGGTTTACATTTTAAGTTTATATATACACTGTACAGTATATTTTTTATTGGTGATTTTTGTTGGTAAATGTTATTTAATTTACTGAAGACTAACTTGACACGCATGGGAATTGAGAAGAACCGGAAATTCGTGTGTGCACAGCGTTGGAGCTGTTGTGTTTGTGTTGGAGTTGGTGTAGAGGTGGTGTGTGGTGCTGGTGGTGTAGAGGTGGTGGTGGAGAGGTGGTGTGTGGTGGTGGTGTAGAGGTGGTGTGTGGTGGTGGTGGTGGTGTGGAGGTGGTGTGTGGTGGTGGTGGAGAGGTGGTGGTATGTTGGTGGTGGTGGTGTAGAGGTGGTGTGTGGTGGTGGTGTAGAGGTGGTGTGTGTTGGTTGTGGTGGTGTAGAGGTGGTGTGTGGTGGTGGTGTAAAGGTGGTGTGTGGTGGTGGTGGTGTAGAGGTGGTGTGCGGTGTAGAGGTGGTGTGTGGTGGTGGTGGTGTAGAGGTGGTGTGTGGTGGTGGTGTGTGGTGGTGTAGAGGTGGTGTGTGTGGTGGTGGTGGTGTAGAGGTGGTGTGTGGTGGTGGTGTAGAGGTGGTGTGTGGTGGTGTAGAGGTGGTGTGTGGTGGTGGTGGTGTGTGGTAGTGGTGGTGTAGAGGTGGTGGTGGTGTGTGGTGGTGGTGTAGAGGTGGTGTGTGGTGGTGGTGGTGGTGGTGGTGTAGAGGTGGTGGTGGTGGTGGTGTAGAGGTGGTGTGTGTTGGTGGTGGTGGTGGAGAGGTGGTGTGTGTTGGTGGTGTAGAGGTGGTGGTGGTGTAGAGGTGGTGTGTGTTGGTGGTGTAGAGGTGGTGTGTGTTGTGCACGCTGTGTCAAGGTGTTGAGTTGGTGTCGGGGTGTGTGTGTGAGTCTTGTGAGTGGCTATTGCAAATGTGAAAAGCTTTCAAAACAAATCATATCACCTGTACGGGCGACCTGTAGAGAATAATAAATTACATCACTGTGTGTGTGATGCTGTACACGGAGTCATAACGCACGCTTGTCACACACCCCGAACGCAACACTCCGCTCGCCGCTGATGTGATGCGCTAACCGCTGTCCCACCGTTCCCTCCGACGTTGTCAGTCTCACTCGGTCTGGCAACACAAGCTCGCATTGTGACAAGCATGTCACAGGATAAAGACAAAGATCCCCATATAGTCTACACAGGCTGTTGGGTCAAGTGCTATTCCGCGAGCACCTATAAAGGCCAGCACGGCACACGAGGGTTTGGGTAGCCAACACCATGCCTGGCCGTCTTTGTATCTCCACTGCTGATGTTTACACACCGCACCAAGTAGGAATTTAAGGCTGGGTCAAACCTTGGGGAGGCCCAGGAACGTTTCAGATAATCGTCACTGGTGTTGGCCGGGTTGGTAGCTCAGTGCATGAACCACTGCGCCACCACTCCCCACTTTGTCACGGGAACCAGGAGCACATACAAACAGTTTAATGAGTTGAATGTCCATGATAATGGAGGTGATGGAGCCGCTAGTGCTGGAGATGGAAACCTGTGATGATTGATGATGCGAGTATGAGCGATACAGATATGGATGATGGTGTTGGCGATGAGCGATAGAGCTGAGGATAGTAATGATGATGATGGTGGTGATGGCGATGATAGCATTGGGATTAATAGGATGACTGATTATGTTATTATGAGACTGACGGTGGGGTTATCATAGGGATATAGGTGATGATGGTCCTTGACGTAGTGTGATGATGGTTCTGGTGAAGACGGTTGCTATGGTGGTGATGGTTGCCACAGTGGTGATGTTTTCCGCGGTAATTCCGGTCGGCATGATGATGATGGTTACCTAGGTGATGATGGTTGCCACGGTGATGATTGCCGTGGTGATGGTGGTTGCCCCAGCAACGGCGGTTGGCATGGTGACGACGATGGTCGCCATAGTAATAATGGTCGCCGCTTCTGCGCGGCCACGTGATGCGGCGGGGCTGAGTCACGTGACACGAATGCCGACATGGCGGAGGTCCGTGACGGCCTCATCTCCGAGTACCTGGACGCGCCGCTGCTGCGGGAGCGAGGGGACCGCCTCCTCTTCGACCACCTCTACCGCCTCGCCGTCGCCTACTTCGAGCTCGGAGACTACGAGCGCCTCTCCGGCGTCTACCGCGCGGCCAGCGGTCAGTGGCAGTTGTAGGCCTCGGCGAGCCCTCCCCCGTTGCCTGACTCGCCTGCCGCTCCCGAGGTGCACGGTTCCCGCGGAGTGATGCGTCTATGCGCCCCCTCCTCGGGGCTCTCTCTCGTTCGTATCTCACGTCTGTCTGGTCGCTCTCAGCTCTCTCGCATCTGGCCTCGACCCATCGCTTCCCACCCGCCTGCTCCGTCTCATCTCTCCTTTCATTTCCTGCGCCCACTCTCCCGGCTCCCCACCCCCCATCTTCACCTCCATTACCTCTCTGTTCCCGCGCCTCTTCTCGTGTTGCAGAACGGCGCGAGGGAGCCGATACCCACGCACACACACACGGAGCTACCTCCGAGATCTCTTCAAGTGTCCCGGTGCAGAAAGTATGAGGCAGCACTTTGCAACCTGCCCTGCCACAGACGAACTAAAGTTCGAACTTTAGTTCGTCTGTGGCAGGGCAGGTTGACGACGGTCAACTCGATATTTGAATTCTGAAAAGCAGAAATTCATTCCAAATTATGAGCACGGTGCAATCATTTGTGACCAGGCTGTGACCATCAACTCGCTGTGCGAGTCGTTTGACCTCACATTCATGGGCACCTCTCCGTGTAGGCCTCTGGTTCTTTTTGTACGTCTGTGGGGCCTCTCTGTAAGTCCCTGGCACCCTGCCTGAGGCCGTCCAGTGGTTCTCAAGCGGGGGTATGTGGACCACTGGGGGGTACGTGAGGCGATTTGTATGTGTGTGGAATTATATCATGCACGAGAGTTATTTGTGAATAGTTTAATCACGTATGAATCTGCAAATATAAAATAACTACGATGTAAATGCAGTGTTTAAACTAGAACGATATAAAATACATTTCTAAACTCACGGATCGTAAACAATGTGGTTTTCAGGAGTAACCAGTGAGCATGCAGAGCGGCCATTGAATAGTGTTATCCCTTTGCAGTTATCTCGTTACCTCACAACATGGATAATTGGTGAAAATATTGATGTGAATTATTTATACGTTTATTTATCAGAACCATGTTGGGCCAGGCAAAAGGGCCTACTCCGTTAAAACAGATTTCAACAAGGCGGGGCGGGGGGGGGTAACAGTCGTATCCAAAAAAGGTTGAGAGCCACTGCTCTAAGCCAAGCGGGCATCTTGTCGTCGTCGTCTTTGCGGAGTCCTCCTGCTGCTTCAGCTCCACCACGTGTGCGCGTACCGTGCTGGGTGACGCAGGCGCCCTGCAGTTCCTGCGGGAGGAGCAGCTAAGGCAGGTGCAGTGGAAGTTGATCCAGCTCATGGAGATGGTGATGCGCGGACAATTCTTTGGTGAGACGCGCGAGCACTGGAGGTGGTGTTGGTTGCTGTGATTATGGTGGCGGAGTGATGGTGCCGGTGGTGGTGATGGATGGTAATCGTATTGATGGATGTTGGTGATGGCTGGTATTGGATGGTGGTATTAATACCCTCTACGGGGAGGAATTCCACCTATCTGTTAGAGTTTTTAACAGACAACGAGACAAGAAGTCACAGCTTCTCGAGACGCTGGCCTTCCTCAAGAGATGCCTCACTTGATACAGTAAATTTTAGCTGTGACGGTCCCACCTGATGACGGAGACTTTTGTTGCCTCCGAAACGTCGTGATTTATTATTTTATTTCTATAAATTTTATTATTTATTATTATTTATTTTTACCTACGTGACTTTACCGAAAAAACCTAAGAGTATTGGGGCAGTTGTTGATCGTGATGGGCACTGATGTTAGTGGTGGTAGTGCAAGAATACCTGCGCCTGCTTGAAAACAATCAGGCTGGCCTGCCTTTGATTCTGCCTGGGTTTATTCACATGAGATTGTGTGAGGTGATCACAAAGCATTGAAAGATATGGACTTTTTTTACAGAAGTGAGATCCTCCGGCAAGTGATGTTGCATTTGCTGTGTCATGTAGTCCACATGGTAAAGCACTCTAGTCGACTTTATGATAAAAAAACAGGTAATGGTGCAGTGCTGAAATGTCTTGCTCATGCCACTGCTGGCAGAAGGGCCTCCACTGACGGGGGCTCTACAGAGCCCACCCCCTAAAGAGTATTTTGGCTTACGGTTTCACATTCGTCAGCCGCCACGGAACAGGTGGAATCACCTAACCTACTAACTGCTTTGTGCCAATTTATACTTGTGGGTGGACAGAGGCGTTTGAGAAATTTGTCCATTTGAACTGAAGCGTGATCAAATTGTACTGATGACGTCTGTATTGCAAGTCCAGCGTGTTAACCACTACACCATGGACCTTATGTCATACGGTAGGGTATATCCTAGCATTGCCATATTGTGGCAACCATTGTATGGAGGGTGGGGGACGGTCGGCTGAGCGGACGCTTGCTATGTTTTCCGTCGTCAGACCCCGTCCGCGAAGGCAACCAGATGCTGCTGGAAGGGGCCGTGGAGATGGTGGACATGCTGGGCAGGGAGTGTCAGTTGGAGCCCGAGGTCACGCAGGAGGTCACGAGAATACTCAGGCTTAAGGTGCGACCTCCCCCCCCCCCCCCCCACTGACGGTGGGAGCCTCTAGACATGACCGCAGATGTTGAGTTCTGGGATGATGTCATCCTCTGCGGCCGTTGTCCCACAAGGTGGTTCGCTGCTCACTGTGAGAATTTCGGACGGAGATTTGTTTGTGGCACTGGTAGTGAGTGAAATTTAATTCGATGGTGGAACAAAAATAAAAGTTTAACTTTTGCAAATAAAATTTGGATGGGAGATCGGAGAGTGGTTTCCTGAGGCCATGTATCCTCATTGCTCGTGGAGCATGGGAACAGGAACCTGGGTCCTGGGCCCGTGCCGGTTCACATGGATGCTCATTGGATGCACAGCTTTGTTACCAGGTCTCTGTAGAATCTTTGGGTGCCTTATCGGATGACTTTGTGTCTTAACGATAGGCCTCCGCAGGGCGTTAAGATGAGGCTTAGCTACCTGCATGATGAGAATACCAGCTATGGCACTTTGGGCACTCAGCTCCTCGCCCCTCCCTTGGTTCGCTGAACTAGAGAACCTCGTGGGTGGAGGAGGAAAGGGTGATGGTTTCGCCACAGGCGCATGGGTGCATCAGAGCGCCTGCGATTGTCGACACTCAGGAATTAGAAGGGGGCTCACTTGGGCCTTTGCCAGGAGGGACCCTAGGAAGGGGGCTCGTTTGGGGGGCTTGGGGCAAGAGGGACCCTCGGGGGTTGGTGCTGGATAGTGGATGCTGCTTCGTGGTATCTTGGAGTTTGCTTGACTTGAGCGCGCGTGTGTGCTGTGCTTGTGTGCGTGTGGTGACTTGGTCTTCTTTCTTGCTCAGCTCCTGACGGAGGCGCGCGTGCAGGTGCAGCGAAACAAACGGCTCCAGACCGACCTCGTGGACCCTTGGTACTCGCTCGACTTGAAGCCGCATATCTTACGAATCATCGACTCCGTCCCCCAGAGCAGTCAGGCGTCCTCCTATGTTCAGGTGCCAGCCCCCGAGCTCTCCGCCAGCTCAGCTTGGTTAACAAAGCGATGTTTCCATCAGGCCCGGCTAAGCTCCTCTTGGGTTGTGCGGCCAGCCAGTATACCGCGAAGGAGAGTGTATATATGTATGTTGAATTTCTTTCGTTCTGTACGTAGCCAACTGTGTTAATCGGATGTGCAGGGAAATTTGAGGTTGGTCAGTTCATTGTAAAACCGCCCTTGTCGACTTCCCCAAAGTGGTACTGATTTTATCGACCCTGGAGGGAGAGATGATTGGCTGGGTAAACCCCAGACCAGGATTTGAACTCGCAACCTTCTGTTTGTGAGCCGTTCGCTCTTCCGCCGAGGCATCTTTGAGACCAAACACCTCGCACTGCTGTTGGTGAGCGGTGTGGTCAGGAGGAGGAATGTAACACGACTGATGCTGTTGATTGTGTGTTTGAAAACAGCTCCTGAAAGAAAGCCTGGCTCAAGAGACACCTCCAGCTGACAAAACAAATGGGTAGGTGGTGTCCGTGTGTTTGTGACGGGAGTCCTTGGTGTGGCTGTCGAAAGGAGAAGGTGGAGTTGCGAGTGACGCCTAAGAACCTTGATCTGGTTAGAGAAATGGAGGCGTTCGAGGAGAGATCGCGAGGCCCAGAGTCACAGCTGCGAGGCGGCAGTGTACTCCGAGAGCCTCTCGGATGTAAAGGCGCGTTGGTGGGGTCGACAGAGGTGAAGAGGAGGGGCTGTCATCTGTGTAGGAATGGTAATTGACTCCTAAGCCGTCGACGTGACGACCAGTAGGAGACGTGCAGGCATCAAACAACAGGGAGCCGAGGACAGCATCCTGAGAGGACTCCCGTGTTAGAACGTTGATGCTTGCCCATCCAAACACCATCGAGACTCGACGTCAGCATATAATCCGCATATAATTTGTTTAAACGAATAGCGATTCAATGCTTGAATTGTGAGCATCAGAATCGAGGTTTTAGTGGACGCGTCGATTGAGTGGCCGCCGGCTCGTCGTCCGGCACCGGCTGTGGTGGCGTCGGCTGGCGTTCCTCCTCCGGTCCGAATGACACCGACCTCTACCCGTGTCCTCGTCCCCACAGCGGTGAATTCCTACACAGGGGCCACATCAAGGAGGCCTTCCTCTCCATCTCCGACTGCCGAGAGGCCGCGCTCAATACCTTCGAGGTCTTGCTGCTCACCGACGTTCCGCCTCTGGGCCTCAAACTCGCCCAGCCGGCCATGGGCGCTGCCAAAAGCTCGCCAGGGCCCAAGCGCCGGGAG